CTTCTCCTTCTTGAGCTTCACCTATACCAGACTGCTTTTTCCACTCACCTGCTCCTTGCAACCTTTCCATGGCAGCCTTTGCTCATCAATGGAAAAAATCCACTTTCAGGGCAGAGGGAGGAGATCTAGGGAGAAAGCAGGAGGGCAGGAAGGAGGCTCACTTATTCCCCTCCCTCTTCATTTCCCTTCTCCCACCTCCCATATTTCTGATCCTCTCTAGGAAAGGAGATCTCTCTCTGTTTAACCCCTTGAGCATTTCCTGAAAGTGGGAATGCTGCACCAAGGAGAAAATAGTCCAGCAGTCTACTTCAATCAAGGAACATGAAAGGCACTGCAGACTAACTCAACCAGAGAAGTCAGCCATAGCAGAGCACCTGATGAACCAGCCTGGACACAGCATATTATTTGAGAACACAGAAATGCTGGACCACTCCTAACAACCACCATGTCAGACTACACAGAGAAGCCATTGAAATCCACAAGCATGTGGACAATTTCAAAAGAAAGGAAGAGACCATGAAAATGAACAAAATCTGGCTACCAGTATTAAAAAACTCTAAAATTACAACAGCAAAACAGCAGAGAGGAAACAACCAGGCACATCTTAACACCTCTCAACAGGGTATTTTCCCAGGCTCAGCCAAGCCTTCAAATGCTAATGAAGGTGATCAGTTGAAACATTCACACCTAGCTCCAGCAGGGAAGAGCTCCTTGCCCCACCCCAGCCATTCCACAGATATATAAACCCATTGTCCTAATTCCAACAGACCTCACTACCTCTGAGGATGCTTGCCATAGATGCAGGCGAAACGTCAGGAGAAATGCCTCTAGAACATGGCCCTATAGCCCGAAAAAACCTACAAGAACCTAGTGATTCCAGCCATGAAAGCCTTCGACAATACACTAATAATAATAATAATAATAATAATAATAATAATAATAATAATTGAGGAAGCCACAGGGAGGAGGGAGCAAGCTTGTTTTCTGCTTCCTTGGAGACTAGGACGCGGAACAATGGCTTCAAACTACAAGAGAGGAGATTCCATCTGAACATGAGCACTTCCTGACTGTGAGAGCTGTTCAGCAGTGGAACTCTCTGCCCCGGAGTGTGGTGGAGGCTCCTTTGGAAGCTTTTAAACAGAGGCTGGATGGCCATCTGTCAGGGGTGATTTGAATGCAATATTCCTGCTTCTTGGCAGGGGGTTGGACTGGATGGTCCATGAGGTCTCTTCCAACTCTTTGATTCTATGATTCTATGATGATGATGATGATGATGATGATGATGATGATGATGATGATGATAATTATAATGACACGATATGTGGATTTAAAGATCGAACTACAAAGACTGTGGCACAAGCCAGTCAAGGTGGTCCCAGTGGTGATCGACACGCTAGGTGCAGTGCCTAAAGATCTTGGCCTGCACGTAAACACAATCAGCGCTGACAAAATTACCATATGCCAGCTGCAGAAGGCCACCTTACTGGTATCTACACGCATAATTCGCCGATACATCACACAGTCCTAGACACTTGGGAAGTGTCCGATGTGTGATCCAATGCAACAACCAGCAGAGTAATCTTGTCTGGTGTGGACTCATCTCGTTCTGTTTCTAATAATAATAATAATAATAATAATAATAATAATAATAATAATAATAGGTTCCATCTGCCTAGAAGATCTGGTGGCAGAGGACTCTTACAAGTCAAACAAGCAGTTGAAGAAGAAAAACATGCCCTGGCAGAATATGTCAAGGAAAGCCAAGAACCTGCTTTAATTGAAGTCAGTAATTGGAAACTTCTGAAATAACAGCAGACAAAGAATCAGTACAAGAAAACTGCACTGTAAACCAGAGCTGACAGCTGGCACAACAAAGCATTGCATGGGCGGTTCTTTGATAAAATTGAAGGAAAAATTGACAAGAAGAACTGGTTATGGCTCACGAATAGAACCGTGAAGAAGGAGTCAGAAGACCTGATTCTTGCAGCCCAGGAGCAAGCCATCAGAACCAATGCCATTAAGGCCAGGATAAAGAAATCAGTGGATGACCCCAAATGCAGACAGTGCAAGGAAACTGATGAAACCATGGACCATATTATCCTCACTGCTGCAAGAAAATTGCACAGACAGACTACAAACAGAGGCACAACTCTGTGGCCCGAGTGATTCACTGGAACTTATGTCACAAGTGCCACCTGCCAGCAGCAAAGAACTGATGGGATCATAAACCTGCAAAGATAGTGGAAAATGAACATGCAAAAATACTGTGGGACTTTTGAATCCAGACTGACAAAGTTCTGGAACACAATACACCAGACATCACAATTGTAGAAAAGAAAAAAGTTTGGATTATTGATGTCGCCATACCAGGTGACAGTTGCATTGAGGAAAATCAACAGGAAAAGCTCAGCCGTTATCAAGACCTCAAAATCGAACTGCAAAGGCTCCGGCATAAACCAGTACAGGTGGTCTCAGTGATAATCAGCATACTGGATTCCATGCCAAAAGATCTCAGCCGGCATTTGGAAATATTGACAAAATCACGGACTGTCAACTGCAAAAGGCCACCTTACTTGGATCTGCACACATCATTCAAAAATACATCACACAGTCCTAGACACTTGGGAAGTGTTCGACTTGTGATTTTGTGATATTTAATCCAGCATATATATCTCATTTGCTGTGACATACTGTGTTTTTGTATCAGTAAAATAATAATAATATAATATAGGTTGAACATCCCTTATCCAGTAGTGTTTGGGACTTTTGCCCACATTTTGGAATAATTGCATACAGATAATGAAAGATCTTGGAGATGGGACCCAAGTCTGATCCTGAAGTTTGTTTATGCACCAAGAAGCCACTCCAAATAGTAATAATAACAATAATAATAATAATAATAATAATAATAATAATAATAATAATACAGACTGATCATCTCTTATCCAAAAGGCTGCGGACCAGAAGTGTTTGAAATTTTTTATCCAGATTTTGAAATATTTGCGTATAGAAAATTAGAAATCTTGGAGATGGGACCAAGCTTTCCTGACTTCTCTTTATGTGGCCAAAGTACTTCATCTTTTCCTCTAATATCCTTCCCTCCAGTGAGCAGTCGGGCATTATTTCCTGGAGTACAGACTGGCTTGATCTTCTTGCAGTCCACAGCTATAGATAAAGCCAAATTAAATAAAGCCCCAGGTCCAGATGGATTCTCTGCTTTGTTTTATAAGGTGCATAAAAAATAATTAGACCGTTATTGCTTTCTACAATGAACCAAGTGCTTCAAAAAGGAAAGATGCCAGAGTCCTGGAAGGAAGCTACGATAGTTCTTTTCCCCAAACAAGACAGAGACATCGAGCAAGTGAAGAATTATAGACCAATTTAATTGGTCAATAACGATAATAAGTTATTTGCAGAAATTTTAGCTAACAGGTTGAAACAAATTTTAGCCAAAATAATACACGGGGATCAATGTGGCTTCCTCCCAGCCAGACATGAAACAATCAGGGCCAACTAACACCTCCCAACAATGGATCCCCTTGGCAGGAAGCAGCCAGGTTTGAAGCTGCAAGTCCATTACATGCTAATCAAGGTGGCCAAATGCAACATTCACACTGGCCTCAAACAGACAAGAGTTCTTTCTTCCACCATGGACATTCCACAGATATATAAACCTCACTTGCCTAGTTTCCAACAAACCTCACAACCTCTGAGGATGGACCAAACTCTACACAAATACTTAATATACCTAAATGTGAACACTGGTGAAGTTTGGGGAAAATAGAATCTTGACATTCTGGAGTTGTGGTTACTGTGATTTATAGTTCATCTACAATCATAGAGCATTCTGAACCCCACCAAGGATAGAATTGAACCAAACTTGGCAGACAGTTCTCCCATGACCAACAGAAAATACCGTTGGTCATGGGATGGTCAAGGATGATAAAAACATCAAATCATCCAGGCGTCCCCTGGGCAACGTCCTTGCAGACGGCCAATTCTCTCACGCCAGAAGCGACTTGCAGTTTCTCCAGTCGCTCCTGACACGACAAAACAAACAAACAAACAAACAAACAGAAAATACTGGGTTTGGTGGGCAGTGTACTTTGGTTTTGGAGTTGTCGTTCACCTACATCCAGAGAGTACTGTGGACTCAATGATGGATCTGGACCAAACTCTACACGAATACTCAATATGCCCAAATGTGAACACTGCTAGACTTTGGGGAAGATAGAATCTTGACATTTGTGAGTTGTCGTTGCTGGGATTTATAGTTCACCTACAATCACAGAGCATTCTAAACCCCACCAACAATAGAATTGGGCCAAACCTCCCACACAGAAACCCCCATGTGAGCCACAGCAACACGTGGCAAGGGACGGCTAGTACATCAATAAAATATAATGAAAATAATAAAACAACAATACAAAATAAACACACAATGCAATATAAAATCACAATAATTGATCACTATGGGCAGTGCCGGTTGCAAAGGTTAAAATATTTTGAAAACCCTAGGTGAGATAAGTAGTGTAGTGTGTCTCGAAGGAGGTTCAGGTGGGACAAAACAATGGGGTTTAATTGCACTAGAGGGTGAAATAAAGCGCATCTGAGGGCATTTCATGCAGAGTTTGGTCAGGGTCAGGGATTATTGTTCATATAATTTTTTGCAACTTTCTAATTGAGGGGTCTTTTTGCAACACAGATCTTCTGATCCATATTTTTTGTGGGGGGGGGATGTGACTGGGTGCAGCTACACTGGAGAATTAATGCAGTTTGATCCCACTTTAAAACTCCCATGGTTCAAATGCTAGGGTTCTGTACCTAGGTGAAGCACCAGCTCTTTAGCAGAGGAATCCACTAGCCAGGGATTCCAAGATCACATGGGATCTGGAAGGGTTTTTGTTTTGTTTTGAAAGGATAGGCTATTGCTAAACCACCAAAAGCAAGTGTGGGCAAAGGTAAGGAAGACGCAGAGGGCAGCGAGTGCGCATGCGCGGGCCCAGATCTGCATCAAAATAGAAGTCCCATTGCCTCCTCTCTCTCTCTCTTTTTCCCTCCCCTTCTGGCCTATGGTGATCCCTGGCCTCTTCCAGGAAAAAGACCTCGCTGGGCTTGAAACCTTCCTCTTGGAGCAGCAAAAAGCAAGGTACAGGCATTTTTTCCTCCCAAAAGTTGCAATAAAATGCATGCAAAGGGGTAGTACTGGCTGGCTGGCTAATAAACTCCAGAAATGGCTTTTTAGTCAATGGAAAAAGGCAGGGACTCTGTGGCTCCTTTCTTTTCTCTTTCCTGTTTTTCAAACATCCACAACTGCTCTGTAGTTTTGGAAATTGTCCAGAGCTAAAGCTTGAAAATTGGGAGTAAATGCATACCAAAAAATGGGATTAAAAAAGGATCCCAGTTTAATATTTTGGGCAGGTATGGTTCCTCTCTCCTTCCTTCCTTCCTTCCTTCCTTCCTTCCTTCCTTCCTTCCTTCCTTCCTTCCTTCCTTCCTTCCTTCCTTTGTTGTGTGTGTGTGTGTGTGTGTGTTTTGAGACGTGGAGAAACAAAAGTCTTTGCCATTTGCCAAGTCAAAGGTTGTTTTTGCTATACAGCACCTTTGTGCCATGTGGGCTGGATCTACACTGCCATATAATCCAGTTCCTGAATCCAGATTATCTGCTTTGGACTGGGTTGTGTGAGAGGCCCCTTCTACACTGCCATATAATCCAGGTTATCAAAGCAGAAAACCCACATTGTTGGCTTTGACCTGGATTATTTGAGTCTACGCAGCCATATAATCCAATTTCCAAATCCAGATTATCTGCTTTGGACTGGGTTATGTGAGAGGCCCCTTCTACACTGCCATATAATCCAGGTTATCAAAGCAGAAAACCCACATTGTTAGTTTTGAACTGGATTATCTGAGTCTACACTGTCATATAATCCAGTTCCTGAATCCAGATTATCTGCTTTGGACTGGGTTATGTGAGAGGCCTTTCTACACTGCCATATAATCCAGGTTATCAAAGCAGAAAACCCACATTGCTGCTGTTGAACTGGATTATCTGAGTCTACACTGCCATATAATCTAGTTCCTGAACCCAGATTATCTGTTTTGGACAGGGTTATGTGAGAGGCCCCTTCTACACTGCCAGATAATCCAGGTTATCAAAGCAGAAAACCCACAGTTAGCTTTGAACTGGATTATCTGAGTTTACACTGCCATATAATCCAGTTTCTGAATCCAGATTGTCTGCTTTGGTCTGGGTTATGTGAGAGGCCCCTTCTACACTACCAGATAATCCAGGCTATCAAAACAGAAAACCCATATTGTCGTCATTGAACTGGATTATCTGTGTCTACATAGCCATATAATCAAATTTCCAAATCCAGATTATTTGGTTTGGTCTGGGTTATGTGAGAGGCCCCTTCTACACTGCCAGATAATTCCGGTTATCAAAGCAGAAAACCCACATTGTCGGGGTTGATCTGGATTATCTGAGTCTACACTGCCATAGAATCCAGTTCAAAGCGGATAATCTTGATTTTATATTGCAGCGTAGAAGGGGCCCAAGTCTATACTGTCATATAATCCAGCCCAAAGCAGGCAATCTAGATTTGGAAACTGGATTAAGGAAATGTGACTGGGTGTGTCAACACCAGGCATGGGCAAACTTCAGCCCTCCATGTGTTTTGGACTTCAACTCCCACTGGCTGTTAGGAATTGTGGGAGTTGAAGTCAAAAACACCTGGAGGGACGAAGTTTGCCCATGCCTGAATGCAGTTTCACGTCACTTGAACGGCCATGACTCCATGCTATAGAATCCTGGGAGTTGCAATTTTACAAGGTCTTTAGCCTCCTCTTCCAAAGATTGCTGGTGCCTCACCAAACTACAAATCCCATAATTCCATAGCATTGGGTCATAGCAGTTAAAGTGGTGTCTGCAGTGTAGATGCACCTCATTTCTCTTCTCTTCTCTGAGCTGTTACTTTGTGCATTTTTGTTTCCTTCCCATCAACATGCATGGCGTACGTTCTTACATGTTTATGCAAGCCTTTGGCATGTAAACTGCTTTCTTTAAAGCATGAATAGATTATGCATTTCTGCTGGGTGTGTACTAGGCACTTTCGGAGCTTGACAGTATCTCTCTCTATCAGCCATGGGCAAACTTTGGCCCTCCAGGTGTTTTGGACTTCAATTCCCACAGTTCCTAACAGCCTATGGCTGTTAGGAATTGTGGGAATTGAAGTCCAAAACACCTGGAGGGCCGAAGTTTGCCTATGACTGCTCTGTATTTCTCTTGGTCATGGGAGTTATGTGTGCCAAAAGTTTGGTTCAATTCCATTGTTGGTGTTCAGAATATTCTTTGATTGTAGGTGAACTATAAATCCCAACAACTACAACTCCCAAATGACAATATCAATCCCCCCCAACTACACCAGTTTTCAATTGGGTATATCTGGTATTTGTGCCAAATTTGGTCCAGTGAATGAAAATACATCCTGCATATCAGATATTTACATTACGATTCATAACAGTAGCAAAATTACAGTTGTGAAGTAGCAACAAAAATAATTTTATGGTTGGGGGGCCACCACAACATGAGGAACTGTATTAAGTGGTGGCAGCATTAGGAAGGTTAAGACAAACTGATCTAGAGGAAAATCTTTGCAGGCTACATTTGTGTGTGTTGGCCTTTTTGGAAGGCGAAGGAAGCATTAGAGGGCTACTGCTGAATTATAGATTTTTTTTTCTCTCGCTTGCGGCTAACCAGATGGTCCAAAGCATGGCTTTGGGGATTCCTCACCAGATTTCCTTCTTGCACTGCCAGAAAAGAACAATTTTTCTGTCCTAGAGATAAGGCAGGAAAGAAACAAAACCAAAGCCCTCCAGCCTGTAATATGTATTGCATCCAAAAAAGAGGTATTTTTAAGACAGAATGATGATGATGGTGATGATGGTGATGATGGTGATGATGATGATTGGGAAGTGTTCGACTTGTGATTTTGTGATACTAAATCCAGCATATATATCTCGTTTGCTGTGACATACTGTGCTTTTGTGTCAGTAAAATAATAATGGGTTGTTGTCGGTTTTCCCGGGCTATATGGCCATATTCTAGAGGTATTTTCTCCTGACGTTTCGCCTGCATCTATGGCAAGCATCCTTAGAGGTAGTGAGGTCTGTTGGAAATAAGACAATGGGTTTATATGTCTGTGGAATGACCAGGGTGGGACAAAGGACTTTTGTCTGCTGCAGCTAGGTGTGAATGTTTCAACTGATCACCTTGATTAGCATATAATGGCCTGACCGTGCCTGGGGCAAACAGAATCATATACAAAACTAATTACTAATGAAGGCTTGAAGACAATTGCTATTTCCAACAGAAAAAGGCAGGCGAGCAGCGGTCCCAAGGATACACAGGCAAAGCCGGGTATATACATTATTATATTGTAAAAATAAAGATGCCCAACGCAAAGGGAGTGTTGAGTTGTTGTGAGTTTTCGGGGCTGTATAGCCATGTTCCAGAAGCATTCTCTCCTGACATTTCGCCCACATCTATAGCAGGCATCCAGGCTGTATGACCACTTTCCAGAAGTATTCTCTCCTGACGTTTTGCCCACATCTGTAGCAGGCGTCCTCACAGGTTGTGAGGTCTGTTGGAAACTAGGCAAGTGGAGTTTATATATCTGTGGAATATCTAGAATATATAATCCTTAATGTATTGTTGAAGGCTTTCGTGGCCGGAATCACTGGGTTGTTGTAGGTTTTTTCGGGCTATATGGCCATGTTCTAAAGGCATTTTCTCCTGACGTGTCGCCTGCATCTATGGCAAGCATCCTCAGAGGTAGTGAGGCCTGTTCCAACTAGGAAAAAGGGTTTATATATCTGTTCAATGACCAGGGTGGGACAAAGGACTCTTGTCTGCTGGAGCCAGGTTTGAATGTTTCAACTGAACATCTTGATTAGCATTTCATTGCCTGGCAGTACCTGGAGCAATCTTTTGTTGAGAGGTAATTAGATGTCCTTGTTTGTTTCCTCTCTGTTGTTTTGCTGTTCTAATTTTAGAGTTTTTTTAATACTGGTAGCCAGATTTTGTTCATTTTCATGGTTTCCTCCTTTCTGTTGAAATTGTCCACATGCTTGCCTAGTAATCCTCACTTGCCTAGTTTCCAGTGGAACTCACAACCTGTGAGGAGGCCTGCCATAAATGTGGGTGAAAAGTCAGAAGAGAATGCTTCTGGAATGTGGTCATACAGCAGTGGTTCTCTACCTGTGGGTCCCCAGGTGTTTTTGGCCTACAACTCCCAGAAATCCCAGCCAATTTACCAGCTGTTAGGATTTCTGGGAGTTGTAGGCCAAAACACCTGAGGACCCACAGGTTGAGAACCACTGTCATACAGCCTGGAAAACTTACAGCAACCCAGTGATTCCGGCCATGAAAGCCTTCGATAACACAAAGGGAGAGCTCTCTTTGTCAAAAGTTGGACCAGAGTTTGAGGCAGGGAAGGGATTTGGGCAACAAGAGAGAAAAAAAGATGATAACTCCAAGTGTGAGATTTGTTATGTCTGATGATAAATTAAAGGAGGGTTCCTGATCACACATCTTGCCCTTTGACCAATGATAGCTTTCAACTGCCTTGGTGATATACCGGGAAGGAAATCAACATTTATTGTTTCAGAAAATTCATTCAAGGAGGGAACACTTCTCTAGGACATTCAAGATCCGCCAGTGTGTTTCTGAGGCCAATTTCTAGTAGACTTCATGCTGGAGGATCTCGACATCTCTCAAGTAAAAAAAAAAAAAGATTTTTTGTATTTGCATTTTCCCCACTTTTGTAGGGGTCCCTGTGTCCCCAAACTCCTGCTAACATGGTGAACCTACTATATTAGTTGCTTTTTATAGTTTGGTTTTCTACAATTGGAAGTAGGGAAGGATGCTTGTGGGAATACTACTTCTACTACTAATGGTGTTGTTTGTTTTTCAGATGCGAGTGAATATTAAAGAGGCTGCTGGATATTTCTCGGACAACCAAGGGACGGTGATGGATCCAGACCAGAGCATTCCCAACAATGAGAGTATCACCCAGGAGCTTGCTGGTAAATATTATAATTACTACTACTACTACTACTACTACTACTACTATTATATTGTTAGATTTTATTTAAAGATCTCTTCTTTAAAAATGATGCTTCAGGGACTCTGAACAAAAACCCCCCCCCCCCCCCCCGCAAATGCATATGTATTTTTTCCTCTGTTTTCAGTGTTTAGACTGAGTGTTGATCCTTGTGTAACAAAATGACACTGACACCTACACAAGCACCAAAACTACTGAAGTTAAGTATGTGTCTATATCAGTGGTTCTCAACCTGTGGGTCCCCAGATGTTTTGGCCTACAACTCCCAGAAATCCCAGCCAGTTTACCAGCTGTTATGATTTCTGGGAGTTGAAGGCCAAAACACCTGGGGACCAACAGGTTGAGAACCACTGACTAAGATGAAGGGTTAAAAGGCTTGATCAACAACTTTGGAGACGACACCAAATTGGGAGGGAGAGCCAATACCCCAAAAGACAGGAGCAGAATTAAAAACAATCTGAACAGATTAGAGAGATGATTGGCCAAAACTAACCAAATGAATTTCAACAGGGACAAATGCAAGATATTCCACTTAGGCAGAAAAAAATGAAATACAAAGATATAGAATGGGGGGCGCATGGCTCAAGAACAGTATATGTGAAAAAGATCTTGGAGTCCTTGTGGGGAGGAAGGTGAACATGAGCCAGGAATGTCATGTGGTGGCAATATGAATGGGATTTTGGCCTGGATCAATAGGAGTCTAGTGTCTAGATCCAGGGAAGTCATGTTCCCCATACTCTATTCTGCCTTGGTCAGACTACACCTGGAATCACACGGCATCAAAATTGAAGGGAGATGTCACCAAGCTGGAATGTGTCCAGAGGAGGGCGACTCAAATGATCAAGGGTCTGGAGAACAAGCCCTATGAGCAGCGGCTTAAAGAGCTGGGCATGTTTAGCCTGAAGAAGAGAAGGCTGAGACATGATGAGGGCTATGTGAGGGGAAGTCATAGGGAGGAGGGAGCAGGATTGTTTTCTGCTGCCCTGGAGACTAGGATGCGGAACACTGGCTTCAAACAACAGGAAAGGAGATTCCACCTGAATATGAGGAATAACTTCCTAACAGTGAGAGTTGCTCAGCAGTGAAACTCTCTCTCTGCATCAAAGTGTGGCATAGATTTCTTTTTTGTGGGCTTTAAAACAGAGACAAGATAGCCATCTGTCAGGGGTGCTTTGAATGCTTTGGATGCGATTTTCCTGCTTCTTGGCAGGGGTTTGGACTGGGTGGCCCACAAGGTCTCTTCCAGCTCAAGGATTCTATTATTCATTTTGTTAGTTTTGGCCAATCATCTCCCTAACCTGTTAAGATCATTTTGAATTCTGCTTCTGTCTTCTGGGGTATTGGCTATCCTTCCCAATTTGGTGCCATCTGCAAACTTGATAATCATGCCTTCTAACCTTTCTTCTAATCTATATAAATAAAAATAACTGAGAAATCACTGGACGAATTGACACAAAATTTGGGCATAATACACCTATCAGGCCAACGAGTGACCATCACTCATAGAGACACTGAAAAACACAGTGGAAGGGACTTTAAAAGCCAAAAATGCAAAAAGACGCTACAGCGCATATACAAAATGACTCCCCCTGGCAAACAAAACACACAATAGCATATCCACACTCTCTTCCGGACTACAGCTCTCATCATCTCCTAGACCAGGTCCTTTAGGAGAAGAAGATGATCCAAATGCTCTGCTTCCAAGCTGCAAACTTTCTTCTTGGATTTCTTTGAGAGCATCCCAATCCCTGCATATTTGCAATTTCCTATTCTTGGACTGCAACTCCCAGCAATCCTCCAGATAGATACAATAGATCAGTGGTTCTCAACCTTGGGTCCCCAGATGTTTTTGGCCTACAACTCCCAGAAATCCCAGCCAGTTTACCAGCTGTTAGGGTTTCTGGGAGTTGAAGGCCAAAAACATCTGGGGACCCCAGGTTGAGAACCACTGCGATAGATAGGTAGATAGATAGATAGATAGATAGATAGATAAGATTGATCAGGAGGACTGCTGGGAGTTGCAGTACAAGAATAGGTAGAGAAGGAAGAACAGGGAGAAAGAGGAAGGGAAAGAAAAGGGGGAAGGAAGGGAAGAGAAGGAAGGAAGGAAGGAGAGAATGAAAGAAAAAAGGGAAGGAAGGAAGGAAAGAGGAAGGGAAGGAAGGAAGGAAGGAGAGAAAGAGGGAGGGAAAGTTGGCCACAGCAACACGTGGCGGGTACAGCTAGTTAATTAATAAAGATGTTGAACAGAACCGGGCCCAGGACAGAACCCTGCTTATGGCACTCCACTCATCATCTGTGTGAGATTAATCCACAACAACAACAACAACAACTTTATTTTTGTATCGTGCCACCATCTTCCTGAAGGAACTCGAGGTAGCCCAATCAACACAGTTTAAAATATAACACAGTAAAATTCATAAGACAGCATAATAAAACAGTATAAAGCAACCATCGAGCAAACAACCAATAGCCTGGCATAGTAAACAATTCTTTTTTTATCTTCTAATAGATGATCAACAAGCAAATGAGAAGGAGGAGGATGTTCCGACACAAATATCTGAACAAAACCAACAAACTGGGATGCCTCTGGGCTTAGCAGGAGTAAACGCTGACCTGTGTCTTGAGAAAGAAGGAACATCTGCGAATCACCGCAGGCTGGAAAGAGATCCTGAGCAGCATATAGGAAAAAGAACAGATAGCGATGTTTCTTTCACAAAGAAGTCCCAAGCTCTTACCAAAGGGCCAGCCCGAAAGCGCATTCGCACCCCGAGGACGTGCGACGAGTGTGGGAAGACCTTCGCCCAAGCCTCCAACCTCGTAGCCCATAAGAGAATCCACACCGGCGAGAAGCCGTATAAATGTTTGGATTGTGGCAAATGCTTCACCGAACGGTCCAACCTTAATAGGCACCAGCGGACCCATGGAGGGGATAAACGCTATCAGTGCCTCGAGTGTGGGAAAGGTTTTTGCTTTGAATCCGATCTGGTTCGGCATGAAATTACCCACTTGGGAGAAAAGCCATACAAATGCTTTGATTGCGGGAAGACCTTCAGCCATGCCTCGACCCTGATTAGACACAAAAATATCCATACGGGAGAGAAGCTCTATTGCTGTATCGAGTGCGGGAAAAGCTTCACTCAGAGTTCATCCCTCCTGGCGCATAAAAGGCTCCACACGGGAGAGACCCCGTTCATATGCCCCGTTTGTGGGGATACTTTCAATTGGAAGTCACACCTCATTACACATGAAAGGACCCACACCGGAGAAAGGCCGTACAAGTGCTCCAAGTGCGGAAAAAGCTTCATGGAGAAGTCTAAACTGAATCGACACCAGAGAACCCACATGGAACGGGAAGGTCATGCGTGTGACGAGTGCGGGAAAGTCTTCACCAACAAATCCAACCTCGCGAGGCATCAGATAATCCACAAAGGCACCCAGGCGTTCATATGCCTCAGCTGTGGGAAAACCTTCAACCAGATATCGAAACTGATTCGGCACGAGAGGGTCCACACGAATGAGGAGCCAAATGAATGGCCAGATGGCCAGGTGCGGTACGAAGACGGCTCCATCCTCATTTCAAATACACCCAAGCACCTTGATTTGGAAGACCAATCTTCTAAATATATGGATGGCAAAAAAGACTACAACCATTGTTCCCTCATTGCAGGAGTGAATCCAGAGGGACCAGTGCCAATGGGAGACCAACTCTGCGACTGGCAAAACAATGAAACAAGCGACAGTCACCGTTCACTCATTGTTACTGCTGTGAAGGAGGAGGATCAACCGTATGAATGCTCTGAAAGCGAGACCCCCTACCAGAGTAGCCCATTCTTTATCAACAGTGGGAATGAGGGAAAGGTGGTGAAGACCCAACTCTACAACTGCCTGGTCGGTCAGAAAATGTGCAACGATCTGCCTCTCCTTATAGAGAGACAAGAGAGCTCTCCAGGGGAGGAGAAAGAGTTTACTTGTTCCGAGTGTGGGAAGAACTTTAATTGGAAGTCCCATTTCATCCGGCATAAGAGGATTCACACTGGAGAAAAACCATACGACTGCCCAGATTGTGACAAAAGCTTCAGTCGGCGGTCGCACCTTGTTCGGCACGGGAGGACCCATACTGAGCTGAGCTTGTATTCGCAGGCCGAGGAGGAAGCGTTAGATCAGGATGCCGGTACTATGAGCGCAAGTGAATCCGTAGAAGAAGGAAATCAGATGAACACACAGTCGGTTGAAACTGAGGCTCAGGTTGTATGAAACGCTGGCATGCAGGAGAGGAAGTCTTTAGTAAAAAAAAAAATCAAGGATATAGTAGAGTCTCGCTTATCCAACTTTCGCTTATCCGACATTCCGTATTATCAGACGCACCTTGGCGGCTTCTGGTTTGGAAGAATAAAAACAAGGGTCTCCCTCCTTCCTTCCCTCCTTCCTACCTACCTACCTACCTTCTGTCCTTCCTTCTCTGGCTCCTGTTCTGAATCTGCTTCCCACCTTGCTGTCTCTCTCCTCCCCGGGGTCTCGCATTCAGCCCAGGCAAGGCTTCGTGGAAGTAGCCTCTGCACAGGTAAAGGTGGAGCCCCGCCGAGGCTGCCCACCTCTCTGCCGGTCTCACTCTCTCGCGCTCTTGACTTCTGCGCCCATTCTCACTACACACCCTTCCCTGCAGCCTTGGCCCAGCTCCCCTTCCTTCCCTCCTCCCCCCTCTCTCGCCAGCAGTGGATAAGTTTGCTTTATGGAAGAGGGAGGGAAAGAAAGAAAGAAAGAAAGAGAGAGAGAGAGAGAGAGAGCGGAAACTGAAGGCAGGAGGCAAGGAAGGGGGGTGTCATGCATGGTAAGAGCCTGGGAGTGATGTGAAGAGCCTCCGCTCCCTCTCTCCTGCCTTTGCATGGGTTTAGTAGGCTTTTCCTTAATCCCTCCATATTATCGGACATTTTCACTTCTCCAATATTCTGGTGTTTATGTCGGATCAGCGAGTCCAGGCAAGGCTTTGGTGAAGTAGGCTCTGCATGGGTAAAAGAGGAGCCCTGCCTGCTGCCCGTTGCCCCGCTGGCCTCACTTTCTGGTGCTCTTGACCTCTGTGCCCATTCTCACCTGGCACCCCTCCCTGCAGCCTCGAATCAGCTCCCCTTCCCTCCCTCCCCCTTCCTCTCTCGCCAACAGTGGATAAGTTTGCTTTATGGAAGAGGGAGGGAAAGAAAGAGAGAGAGGCGGGGGGCACGGAAGGCAGGAGGCAAGAAAGGGGGGGTCATGCTTGGGAAGAGCCTGGGAATGATGTCAAGAGCCCCCGTTCCCTCTCTCCTGCCTTTGCTTGGGTTTAGTAGGCTTTTCATTAATCCCTCCATATTATCCGACATTTTCACTTATCCAATATTCTGGCGACCCGTTTATGTCAGATCAGCGAGTCCAGGCAAGGCTTCAGGGAAGTAGGCTCTGTGCGGGTAAAAGGGGAGCCTTGCCTGGCTGCCCCACTGGCCTCGCTCTCTGGCGCTCTTGACCTCTGTGCCCATTCTCACATCGCACCCCTCCCTGCAGCCTCGGCCCAGCTCCCCTTCCCTCCCTCCCCCTCCCCCCTCGCCAGCAGTGGATAAGTTTGCTTTATGGAAGAGGGAGGGGAAGGAAAGGAAGGAAGGAAGGAAGGAAGGAAGGAAGGAAGGAAGGAAGGAAGGAAGGAAGGAAGGAAGGAAGGATGGATGGATGCATGGATGCATGGATGCATGGATGGATGGATGGATGGATGGATGGATGGATGGATGGATGGATGGAAGGAGAGCAGGCACTGAAGGCAGGAGGCAAGAAAGTGGGGGTCACGCTTGGGAAGAGCCTGTGAATGATGTCAAGAGCCTCCGCTCCCTCCCTCCTGCTTTTGCTTGGGTTTAATAGGCTTTTCCTTAATTCCTCCATATTATCCGACATTTTTGCTTATCCAACATTCTGTCGACCTATTTATGTCAGATCAGCGAGACTCTACTGTACATTTGTGCTCAATATAGACAAAATATAGAAAGGAGATATTGTAGCTGAAGTCCACACAAAGAAAAAGTTGCTCCTGGACTTAATAAAACGTAAGCTCACTAGAATAAGACTATAGTTGACTGTTTCCTTGTTTGAAACATCACCGAATATGCCCTACATATAGAAAATCAAGCTAATCAGGTAGAAGAAAATCTAGACTAGTATTTACACAAACATCTTTGTTTTTCTTGCATATGCATTCCTACACCCGAACTCTGAAGTGGTATATGCTGTTTTAACACCTCCTTTGCATTTTGTGTACATCCTGTTCACTGCCAAACTGTGAAAAAAGCTCTTCAGAGTCTCCAGTCCAATTCTAGAACTTATGGAAATGAACTTATCATGTAGATAAACCTTTCAATGTCTTTCTCCTCCTGGACTGAGCGAAACTTCGTTCTGAGATCATGCCTTTACCAGAGGATCTGTCTATTTTGGTCCAAACCTTGCTGTCTGCTGGAAAAGACTTTTAGAAGAAGAGCTTTACAGTTTTGCGTTTCAGAACCCAACAATCAATGTCCATTGATTCCAACTGGCTTTGGTAAACTGAACTCTTGATAAGATAAGATGCTATATCTCTATTGTATTGTAACAATTTTGTTTTAGATGGCGGAAATCCACCAGTGCGTAATTTTCTTTCGTCAAACTGAAAATCCCTCTGGAATTGTATGCCCAGTTACACCTGGGGTCATCAATCATGCCCACCACTCTTGATACCCCTGTGGGAAGGGATTTTATTTCCCACTCCCATGAAGACCTGAATAATGAACGTTAGTGTTTCCTGTTCTCGCTCTCTTGCTCATCTCAACTCAGGGACAACAGTCCTCAAGTCTTCCCTCACTTCTTCACAGAGGGCCCTTTGGTCTGGAGTCAACAGGGCCCACTCCTCAGTGAAATCTACAACCACCTGGTTCGGTCTTATAGGAACTGTTCTAGGTACATCCATGTGGAGAGATGTTTTTAGCCGTGTCCTTGTTGCACCACAGATGTGGATGCTCTTACAATCTTGCATGGCACACTCATTCTTCATGTCAACTGTCTCACACAAGGATGTGTTGTTGAAGGCTTTCATGGCCAGAATCACTGGGTTGTTGTGAGTTTTCCGGGCTGTATGCACATGTTCCAGAAGCATTCTCTCCTGACATTTTGCCTACATCTATGACAGGCATCCTCGGAGGTTGTGAGGTCTGTTGGGAACTAGGCAAGTGGGGTTTATGTGTCTGTGGGATGTCCAGGGTGGGAGAAAGAACTCTTGTCTGTCTGAGGCAAGTGTTAATGTTGCAGTTGGCTACCTTGATTAGCATTGACTAGCTTCAAGGCATGGCTGATTCCTGCCTGGGAGAATCCTTTGTTGGGAGGTGTTAACTGGCCCTGATTGTTTCATGCCTGGAATTCCCCTGTCTTCTGGATGTTGTTCTTCACTTACTGTCCTGTTTTTAGTTTTTAAATACTGTTTTTAACACCTCCCAACAAAGGATTCCCCCAGGCAGGAAACAGCTAGGCCTTGAAGCTGCCAGGTTATTTTTAATGTTTTATGTATATTGTTTATTGTATATGTTGTTCAATTTATTGTAATTTGCATTTTATTTTATTGTAATTTGTTGTTTGGCTTGGCCTTATGTAAGCCGCCCCGGTGGTGGGGTATAAACATCATCATCATCATCATCATTATTCAGTGCTAATCAAGCTGGCCAGTTGCAACATTCACATTTGCCTCAGACAAGAGTCCTTTCTCCCACCCTGAACATGCCACAGATATATAAACCCTACTTTCCAGCACCTCACAACCTATGAGGATGCCTGCCACAGATATGGGTGAAACGTCAGGAGAGAATGCTTCTAGAACATGGCCAGACAGCCTGGAAAACTCACAGCAACTCTCACAAAGATGTTATGTACCTGTTGCTTCCTCTCTTCTGACCAACTCGGGAGAATTCCTTCAGCCAAAGCCACAACCTAGGAACTGGTCTCTGCCCCACATTCCCGGACCTGGCGCTCTAACTCCGGAGAAAGACCAGTTGTTTCTTTGTTAGGAATTGCGGGAGTTGAAGTCAAAACACCTGGAGGGCCAAAGTTTGCCCATGGCTAATATAGAATGAGACAGAATTTCTAATCTTAAGACTCAAAATTGATGGATAATTCTTGGTTTTATTTGTGTAACCTCATTGTCAGATGATCCGGCTTCAAAATGAGACACGGCATTGCTGGTTATATCTAAAGTAGTTTAGAAATGTTTATTTTATTTTTAATGAAAATAGATAATGTGACTTCCTGCCACTTCTTTACACATTGTTCCAGTAAATCAGGGAAATAGAAAATACGTCCCTGTGGATGTTGCCGTTCCCATCAGCTTCATGACTAGTGCTCACAGACAATATGTGTCTGGAGTTCCAACAACAGTATGTAGTACATGAAGGGATACGAGTCGTTCCTGGACTGGAATGCTTGAGATTTTACTATACTTCAGGAAGATAGCTTATTGGAAAGTTTCTTGAATACGAAACAAATGCCAGGGACATAAGATAATAAAAAAATCTTGTAGCTCATTAAGGCACGTGCTTATTTTTTCTTTTTTTTCTCTACAAAGTCTCTTGGACAGTAGTACGTACATTTTGTGAGACCCAATGGATTGCACTCTGCAGCAAAGATGGAGGGAAGGTTGAATCTGCAACAGGCACACCACACAAAAGATGGAGGACAAAGGACAAACAAAAAGGTCTGGCCTCGTACGAGGCTGTGAGGTATCTTTCATAAACCAAACAGTTCCCAAATCCCTTCCTTCCAAGGCCTGACAGTGGGTAGCTACTACCACTGTATTTTATATTTTGCCTTGGCCGCTCAATTATTTACTAAAGGTCTCTTGCCGCTACCAATTTATTATTTTAGTAGGCCACGTCCTTCACTGTAATGTTTTAAAAGTCACACAAAGACTTCAGTTGGAATAAAACAGGAAAATGTTTATTTTGAACAGACAATATGCGTAATGGTTTCAAATAATTTGTCAGGCTTTACTTCTTACAGAGGATGGTACTTTTATCTTGAGATTCTCAAAGTTCTACACACACAAATCCAAACAGTATCTTTTAAAACCTTTTGATTCTTCCTTCCTCTCACAGCACTCTAATCACTATAGAGGCCTATTAACTATCCTCAAAGAGGTATCTTCCATAAACCAAACAGTTCCCAAATCCCTTCCTTCCCCCTTCAAACTTCTGTTTGTCTTCTTCCCCACCAAACTCCTAACAGAACTTAAAATGGTTGCCTCGGCTTCTTCTCTTTGCCTATGACTCCACCCATCTCTGAGCTTTCCCCCTCCAATTTCATTAGCCAATCAGTCTGCACTTTTGGCTAAGAGGCTGCCTGATTTCTTCACCCAACTTTTCCCTTAGCTTTTGCAAGTTGGGGCTGGTTTCTGCCTTTCATACCAACTCTTTAAGATAGGGCAATCTGTTACACACTCTATGAAAGCATATGCTAATTTAGAAAGTTTAGTCTTTACAGTGGTACAAGTCACTGCTATTTTTACTGCAATAGACTAACTGCATACCATTTCCTTGACGGAGTAGATTTCTCCATGCAGCCCCCCCCCCCCCTGGACATTTAAAACTTCTGCCCAAGAACACAACTGTCCTGTTATCTCATCTGGGAGTTTTTTTCATGTCAGAAACCACTTGAGACCATACTGCAAGTTGCTTCTAGTGTGAGAGAATTGGCCGTCTACAGCAGTAGTACACAACCAAAAGATTTACAAATTAGTTTTTGGTCAACTTTAGATTCTGTTTGATAATTTGGGAAGCAGATTCAGAAAATTGCATTAAACAGATCACATCAGCTCTAGTTTCTGATACAGAACAAATGCCATCCAGTAGTTGCTATTTGCTTGCCCATAGGAAACCATATATAATAATCTAGAGCTGATGTGGTCTATCCAATGCAATTTTATTTATTTATTTCCCATATTTGTGTACCACCCTTCTCAGCCGACTCAATTTTCTGAACCAGCACCCCAAGTAACCTCAGGAACAGGCCTAAAAACAAAGACACCAAGATTTTTTTCCCGTTGGGTTGTGTTATTATCCGTAGTAGTGACAGTGAGGCCATGGACCATATTTTAGTTCTTGCAGACCACTGGGGGTCCATGGACCACAGGTTGGGAACCACTGGGGACGTCCTGATGTGTTACCATCCTGCTGGGAGGTTTCTCATGTCCCTGCAAGCTGGAGCTGACAGACGAGAGCTCACCCCATCTCGCAGATTTAAACTGGCAACCTCTGGGTCATCAACCCAAGCTTCAGGTCAGCTGTCCAGCTGGCACAAGGGTTTAACCCATTGCGCCACTGCAGCAAACAAAGGGAAACTATTCAAGGACTACATTCTGCATGCAAACACTCACACTGAAGCTTAGAGAGACACTGAGCACAGATGTTTCTTTTGGGGGACTGGAAACCAAGGTCATGCATCCTGAGAATGATCACATTTATGTCATCAAATATCCTGACTTTCAACATATTTATTTATCAAAACACAGACATCTCATCTTCTATTGTGTAAGTTCAAGTCACATTCGACACATGAAATAAATACAATCCAAATAGTTTAAATTTTACAACAAACATAACTGAAACAAAAAGCATATTAATTTCATCACATTTTAAATGTTTTAAATGTTGAAGCAGATTTTGAACAGTTTCAAATACAGTTAAATCCACCTCACTGCAGAAACGATATCTATGGTATGTTGGGGACCAGAAATTAATGGTTTACTGAGTTATCCTTTTTTTTCTTTTTTCTTTTGGTAATTGCTTTCCATCAAGGAATGTATTCCCTGTAAAAACAGGTGTCAAAGGCCCCATCTTCACAGATTATTTAATGTAGTAGCATTGAATAAAGTGGATTGCTGCACACTTACAGCTTTTTCCCCACAATATTGAAATGATGCCGAAATTGGCACTCATCATGGTTGCATCTACACTTCAGAATTAATGCATTTGGAGAAACTAATTGCTACAGTTCAATGCTACGGAGTCCTGGAATTTGTGGTTTGGGGAGCCACCTACACTTTTAGAGATAGCTAGAACTACAACTCCCATGATCACATAGCATTGATCCATGGTGGTTAAAGTATGTTATGAGATAATTTAGAGGAGCCCCCAGTGGCGCAATGTGTCAAACCTTTGAATTGGCAGGACTGCTGACCAAAAGGTTGGCAGTTCGAATCCAGGGAACAGGGTAAGCTCCCATCTGTCAACTCCAGCTTCCCATACGGGGACAAGGAAGAAGCCTCCCACAGGATGGTAAAAGACCAAACATCCCAGTGTCCACTGGGCAACATCCTTGCAGACAGCCAGTTCTCTCACACCAGAAGCAACTTGCAAGGGCCGGGCTGTAGCACAGCTGGTTGATCACCAGATCACTGCCGACCTGAAGGTGGCAAATTCAAAGCACGAGTTGGATTGAGCCCCTGACTTTAAGCCTAGCTTACTGTGCAACTAGGCAGTTTGAAAACAGCTGAGCCGTGAGTAGAGAAATTAGGGACAAGCAGAACCATTGTATTGATCTTCCACACATGAAACAAGTGATACTCAAATGTTACCAAAACAAGTATTTTATTATATAAAGAGTGAAAAATGCCAAATCTCCAAACTGTGTTCAGAAAAGGAAGAGGCACAAGGGATCATATTGAAATATATGTTGGATAATGGACTGCAGAAAAGAATTTCAGGGGGAAACCAACCTCTACTTTATCATTTATAGCAAATCCTTTGATTATGCAAGTCATAAAAAAAAACCTATGGATTGTTCATAAAGAAATGGGTGCACCACGACATTTGATTTTCCTAATGTGTAGCTTCCACTCAGGACAAGGGGCCACTATGAGGACGAAGACAGAGAAAAAGAAATGCAGCAAGTTGGCAAGGGAGTGTGACAAGGCTGCACTTGATCACCCCCTTTGTTTAATGTCACAGCCAAGTCCTGCTTACATCCCCGGGAAAAACCTCCCAGTCGGGTTTTCACAAAAATGTAAAGAGAGAGCAGAGAGGTTTCAGAAGGAGCAAAAAGGCTTACAATAAATGGAATTCTTGACTAAAAGTAGATTTGGGTCTTTTATTCCCTCTTTGTTGTTCTTGTTGTAGCTGGGTTTTCCAAATGGGAGGAAGAAGTCTCCGGCTGACCCATGAGCTGAGCACTGCCATGAGGAGTGGCTTTAACGTTCACACTCCAGCCTCCCAGTCATGTTTTTACAAATATGTATAGGGAGCAGAGAGAGCAACAAGAATCAACAACTCCAGATCTCTAGAGACAAATCTCTTCTTGTGTCTCAGATGGTATGAGTCTTTGGACATTGCTCCCCATCCTTAGGGAGAGAGCTCCAGTTGGCCTTTTTTAGTCATATAAAACAGGGGGAGGAGGGTCTCACCTGAGAAAGAGGCTGGAGGGTATTCAAAGATCAGGGCTGCTGAGTTTGCATCGTAAAAAGCCACCCGACCCCCTTCGTAGTTCAGACTCACTCGGAACCTCTTGGGCTCCTTGCTCAGGGTCAGAGATGGGGACGCATCATTGTCGGAGGAGAACCTGTACGCACTCTCCCACTTTCCCACTTGCCAGACCCCAGCACGAGGACCAAAGCCGCCTGAATTCTTTCTCCGTACAGATGTGTTGGTATCTGAGACCAAGTATCCCCTCATCAACCATTCCAAATTTAATTTCCCAACCTTAGGGCCACTGAGGATTAAGTCCTTTCTCTGCACAGACTTTCTGGCAATTCCCACAGACCATTCTTCCGGACTCCGCAGGACGACTTCCCAGAAATGCCTGCCTCCTGTGAATCCCTCCCGGCCGAAAACATAATCACGCAGATTGAATCTCTCAGGATTGTCAGGAAGAGATTTCCATTCATCTGGAAACTTTAAATGCCTGCGATCTTCCCAAGGATGGGCTGTGTCTGGCTCCAGGGTCACATGTGCTGTTGGTGGAGGAAATAGATGAGGGGAAAAGAAAGAAAGAAAGAAAGAAAGAAAGAAAGAAAGAAAGAAAGAAAGAAAGAAGGAAGGAAGGAAGGAAGGAAGGAAGGAAGGAAGGAAGGAAGGAAGGAAGGAAGGAAGGAAGGAAGGAAAGAAAGAAAGAAAGAAAGAAAGAAAGAAAGAAAGAAAGAAAGAGTAAACTGATGGAAGATCAGCTTCCATATCTGATTCTAAAACAATGACAGGGAAATATTCCCTCTAAAATCTAGATTGGTTCTACATTATGCTCCACTGGCTGCCAGTTTGCTACCGGGCCCAATTGAAAGTGCTGGCTTTAGCCTATAAAGCCCTAAACAGTTCCGGCCCAGCCTACCTATCCAAACGCATCTCTTCCTACAAACCCTCCAGGAAGTTAAGATCATCTGAGGATCCCGTCTACTTCGCAAGCATGCTTGGCGGGGACGAGGGACAGGGCCTTCTCTGTGGTGGCCCCTCGGCTGTGGAACTCCTTGCCTAGGGATATTAGATCAGCCCCCTCCCTCCTGACTTTTCGGAAGAAAGTAAAAACCTGGCTCTTCGAGCAGGCATTCGGAACCCCGGAATAGATAGTCAAGCTTGAGATGGAGAATGACCCAGGAACGGCCAAGACGATGAAACGGATGAGGATTGGAATGAGAGGATATAGCTCTTTTTAAATTGTTATTGCACTGTCTTTTTTGTCTAAATGCACTTAATTGTTTTTGATTTTGTATTGTATTGATGGCATCGAATTGTGCCAATATGTAGACCGCCCTGAGTCGCCTGCGGGCTGATATGGGCGGGATATAAGTGATGCAAATAAATAAATAAATAAATAAATACTCTCCTTCTTATGAGCAACACTTGAGCATGGGGAGCTTGGACTATGACTCTGGGGACACAGGTTTGATTCCCCCTCCATCATGGAAACCCACTGGGTAAACTTGAGAAAACCCTATGATAAGATCTTGGGAGGATTATACTTTAAACCATTGGGATACTGTATGGTATGTTTGTAATCAACCTGATTGGCAATGGATATTGATATGATCAGGGTGTGAGAACATTATTCTCTGGATAATGGGCCATGGCAGTGAAAGTCATGTCAAACTGCATTTATTCTCCCATGTAAATACACCCGGAGAGAAAGGGAGGTGGTTCTTGTTGGTTTTGTTTTGTTTGGCTCTGCTATATCTTCCATGGTTAAAGATTCAGGAGAGTTTGCCAAAGAGGCAAATAAATGGAGATAAATCAAGCCTAAATGCTCCCTAGGAGCCAAGATGACTAAACCAAGGCTATTCTACTTTAATCCAGAGTGGAAGTGGTTTGAGGGTTGGACTAACGCTCAGGGAGACCAGAGTTTGAATCCCCTTCCTTTTTCAATCAAAGCCAGTGGGTAACGTTGGCTACACTCCACTCTCTTGGCCTCAATGCAACCCTCTGTGAAAAAAACTGGTTTTTTTTTTGTTTTGTTTGTTTACCTTTCCGCTGCTGAATCCCATATTCCAGAGAGGCTGGGGAGAGAAAGAAGAGAGTAAGGCTTCGCACAACATCGTGACCCTCAGAAACACAGGAGGAACTAACAAAGCAGGAGTGAGATCCTGCACCCAAAAGACGTAGTGTGACTTCACCCACAAAGAGTTCCCTAGGAGTCTCCAAGTCCCCCAGTGTGACTCAACTGTAAGACTCTGCAAGAAGTTGGCTATAGAGTCATGCTGGGGGACTAGAGATCCCTACAGAGAACACCTCTCTAAGAATCTCTAGGTTCTCCAGGTGCATTCTTTCAGATGACCAACATCTTACTTGGCAACCTAGGCCCCTTCTACACTGCCATATAAAATCCTGATTGTCTGCTTTGAATTGGATTATATGGCAGTGTAGATGCATATATTCCACTTCAAAGCAGATAATTTGGCTGTATTTCTGGCCTTAAGATCAGCTGGGGCGGCCCTCCTAGCCACTTTGAGTCCCCTTCGTGGGAGATAAAACACGATATAAATAAATATAATGATAATAATAATAATCTTCCCCCATAAAATGGACTATCTTTCTCTGTATAGTGCCCCCTTGTGGCCTCTGTCCAGATAATATAGTAAAGGTAAAGGTTTTCCCCTGACATTAAGTCCAGTCGTGTTCGATTCTGGGGGTTGGTGTTCATCACCATTTCTAAGCCACAAAGCTGGTGATGTCCATAGACACCTCCAAGGTCATGTGGCCGGCATGACTGCATGGATCGCCATTACCTTCCCATTGGAGCGGTACCTATTGATCTACTCACATTTGCATGTTTTGGAACTGCTCGGCTGGAAGAAGCTGGGGCTAACAGGAGAAGCTCACCCCGCTCCCCAAATTCGAACCTGAGACCTTTCAGTCAGCAAGTTCAGCAGCTCAGCGCTTTAACCCACTGCGCCACCAGGGGCCATTATTATAACAGTACAAAAAAATTAATAAGGCAAACAATACAATTTGTTTCACATTTGAAATGAAACAGTTCCAGTCGGCTCTTCTAAATGCTTTGGAACTTTGTTTTCCACTTTCAGACCAATGCCAGATCTCATGAAGATCCTTGCAGACATTCTCCCTTACCTCTAAATTGCTTCATGACACCCTCCAGAAAGGGATTGATATCACAAAAGTCCCAAATCTTCCACTTCAGGGCAGGAGGAAAGGCTGCAGAAGTCTCAAATTTCTCCTTATTCTTATACCTGGAGTAGAAAGAACAATATCAGAGGATGCATGTCTACTATACAATGAGTGCAGTTTGACACCACTTGCCTCAAGTCATGAGGAGAGGTGGATAACAAATTTAAGTTGTTGTCATTGTTATCAAATGGCATTAATTCTAGAGTCTAGATGCGCCACAGAATCATAGAGTTGAAGGGGTCTCGTTGGCCATTCAGTCCAATTTTGACTGTAAACACTATCCAAACACAGACTCCTGCAATGTGCCCCTGCTTTTGAGAGTCATGTATTTCATGTGCAAATCTGAACTTTTGCGGGAGGAGGAAAGGAAACTAACTTACCCCTGTAAGGCACTCCTGGTATCCTGTAAATGAAGGAAAGAAAGAACTCAGCAGAGGCATTTGCATTGAGGCCACTCTCATGTATCTGAAGCAACAGGGTATCAACTAAGGGAAATTGTTGAAGCAAACCCAGGAAGGTGAAGCAGAACTCCCTCCACAAACTGAGGAGGAGGTGGGTAGATCTATGGAACCACTGGCACTGTTTTGCAAACAGCTTTTTGCTGAGCCACCAAAACACTGGTCAAATGCAAGCCCCAGTATATTAGGAATCTGGTCTAGCTGACTTCTCTGGTTGAATTAGTCTGCAGTGCCTTTCATGTTCTTCGATTTGTGTCTGGACATTGCTGCATTTGGTGGTCCCTACGTAGACATGAAAGGCACTGCAGACTTATGTATTTATTTATTGTGTCAGGAGCGAATCAAACAGTTGTACTGCATTAAAACAAACAAACAAACCACAAAGTTTGCAAACTTGATATTCGATTAAATGTCCTTTGACCAGTAGCTGCCCACTTGGAGTGCCTCTAGTGTTGCTGTAAGAAGGTCCTCCATTGTGCATGTGGCAGGGCTCAGGTTGTATTGCAGTAGGTAGTCTGTGGTTTGCTCTTCTCCACACTCGCATGCAGTGGATTCCACTTTGTAGCCCCATTTCTTAAGGCTGGCTCTGCATCTCGTGGTGCCAGAGCGCAATCTGTTCAGTGCCTTCCATGTCAGCCAGTCTTCAGTGTGTCCAGGAGGGAGTCTCTCATTTGGTATCAGCCACTGACTGAGGTTCTGCCACTTTTGGACTCTTGCTTGCTGAGGTGTTCCAGCAAGTGTCTGTAGATCTTAGAAAACTATTTCTTGATTTAAGTTGTTGGCATGCTGGCTGATATCCAAACAGGGGATGAGCCAGAGATGTCACTGCCTTGGTCCTTTCACCATTGGTTGCTACTTCCCGGCAGATGTCAGGTGGTGCAATACTGGCTAAACAATGTAATTTCTCCAGTGGTGTAGGGTGCAGATACCCTGTGATAATGCGGCATGTCTCATTAAGAGCCACATCCAGTTTTAGTGTGGTGAGATGTGTTCCACACTGGGCATGCATACTCAGCAGCAGAGTAGCATAGCACAAGAACAGATGTCTTCACTGTATCTGGTTGTGATCCCCAGGTTGTGTCAGTCAGCTTTTTTGATTTAGCTTACTAATTCAACCAGAGAAGTTGGCTACAGCAGAGCACCTGATGAACCAACCTGGACACAGAATATTATTTGAATGCTCAGAAATTCTAGACCTCTCTAACAACCGCCGCGTCAGGCTACACATAGAAGCCACTGAAATCCACAAGCATGTCAACAATTTCAACAGAAAGGAGGAAACCATGTAAATGAACGAAGTCTTGTTATAAGTATTAAAAAAACACCAGGATCAAGACAGTAAATAATGAACAACACTCATAAACTTGGGAACTCCAGATAGCAAGCAATCAAGTGACATTTAACACCTCCCAAACATGCCTTAAGGCAGTGGTTCTCAACCTAGGGATCCCCAGATGTTTTGGCCTTCAACTCCCAAAAAATCTCAACATCTGGTAAACTGGCTGGGATTTCTCGGAGTTGTAGGTTGAAATACCTGGGGATCCACAGGGTGAGAATCACTGCCCTAAGGCAACACAGGCCAGGCTACCTCATAGAATCATAGAATTATAGCTTCATGGCTACTCAACATTATTCAAGCTTGCTTTAAACAGACAAGGCTTCTTTCTCCAACCTGGACATTATTCCACAGATATATGTGCACTCCACTTGCCTCACTTCCAACAGACCTGTGAGGATGCCAGCCACAGATGCAGGAGAAATGTCAGTAGAGAATGCTGCTAGAACATGACCATAATGCCCAAAAATACTCACAGCAACCCATTGATTAAAATAAATTCTACAGCCATATAGCATATAATTTTTGATGTGCTTGTGTGATCTACTGATCTATTATCTCACCTCTGCAGGAGTCTACCGTGTACCATGCAGCTGTGGACAAGTCTACATAGGGACCACCAAAGGCAGCATCGCCCATACACGAATCAAGGAACATGAAAGGCACTGCAGACTAATTCAACCAGAGAAGTCAACCGTAGCAGAGCACCCGATGAACCAACCTGGACCCAGCAGATTATTTGAGAACACAGAAATGCTGGACCACTCTTAACAACCACCATGTCAGGCTACACAGAGAAGCCATTGAAATCCACAAGCGTGTGGACAATTTCAACAGAAAGGAAGAAATGATGAAAACGAAAAAAGTCTGGCTACCTGTATTTAAAAAAATCTCTAAAATTATAACTATAAATAAAAAACAACACGGAAACACAGAGGAACTCCAAAAAGAAACAATCAGGCAATCACCTCTCAACAAAGGATTCCCTCAGGCAGTAAGAAGCCACATCTAAAAACTGTCAGGTCAATAAATGCTAATCAATGTGGCCAATTGAAACATTCACACCTCCCTCCAACAGACAAGAGTTCTTTCTCCCACCCGGGACTTTCCACATATATATAAACCCAATTTTCCTAGTTTCCAACAGACCTCACAACCTCTGAGGATGCCTGCCATGGATGCAGGCAAAACGTCAGGAGAGAATGCTTCTAGAACAGGGGTCCTCAAACTTTTTAAACAGTGGGCCAGGTCACAGTCTCTCAAACTGTTGGAGGGCCAGATTATAATTCGAAAAAAATATTTGTAGTGCAAAAAACACTTAAAAACAACACAATAATTAAAATGAAGAACAATTTTAACAAATATAAACTTACTAGTATTTCAATGGGAAGTATGAGCCTGCTTTGGGCTGATGAGATAGGATTGTTTTTGTTTTTGTGTGCTTTCAAGTCATTTCAGACTTAGGTTGATCCTGAGTGAGGGCCGGGTAAATGACCTTGGAGGGCCGCATCCGGCCCCCGGGCCTTAGTTTGAGGACCCCTGTTCTAGAACATGGCCATACAGACAGAAAAACCTACAACAACCTTGATCTATCAATCGACTGAGCTGATCTTTTAGAGACGGAACACAAGTCAATCTTAGATTCATTTATATTTCTTATTCGCCTTCTAAACACTGCGCAAAAGCAATGTCACACAACAGTTTGTGTACACTGAATCATGATAAAACTGAAGTGTCACTGTCTCAGACATCCAAGGGGACAATATGAGTCTTACCTGTAGGAATTCACTTGCTGGCTGCTGATGCTTCTCCTCCATCTCTTGGATGAGTTTCGAGAGAGAGGAGAGTTCTTTGGAGAGTCTGGCCAGATGTTTCTCTCCTTTCGCTGAAATCTCCTTCTCTACCTCTTCCATTTTTGCCAGGAGATTCTTCTCTTGTTCTTCTAGAAACAGATGCATGAGTGTGAATGCAGCCACAGTTTTCTCCTTCTCTTTCTGGGTTTTCTCCTAGAAGAAAGGAAAAGAGAAACAGGAGTGAAAGACAGCCTTTGAAGTGAATTCTCCACTTTTTCTTGTAAATGGATTTGTGTCTCTTCACGTAAAAAACATCAGTATCCAAAAGAGAAAGAGTATCATGAATCCCCACAAGGGTGCCTGCTACTGGAATGGGTGAATATTGTCTGTAGGTTTTTAGGACTTTTCAAATGGAAAGGAGAAATAGGAGTGAGCGGCAGAAAGAGGGTCTTTGGAGTGAATTCTCTGCATTCTTTTGGATTGAGAATTACATCTCTTCACATAGAAAATGTCAGCATTGTTGGAGCATGCAAGAAACCTCCCTCTCTCTCTCTCTCTCTGTGTGTGAATTGTAAAATAAGATGCATGAAACTGATTGGTTGAGCTTTGTTTGGGGAGATGGCTGAGCCTGGGAGTTTTGGTTACTGTTACATTTTTGTTCAGGCTTGAATTATGCAGGTGCTTGGAGAGAAGCAGAGTAAAGCAGAGAGAGACCAGGGTTTGGAATGTGTCCTTGTTTCATGGGCTACTGGAAGAGTTTATCCACATGGACAAAGAAAAACCATTTTAAATCTTTCATAAAAGAGTATTATGTGAGTTGATGCAACCGACCACATTGTACATATGTTGTTCTGAAGGCTATAATACATTCCCATTTTCCCGTAGTAATGCCACTTACAAGCAAATCTTGGCTTTCCCGTGCTGTGTCTGTTTTGTAGGCTAGGATTTTCTCTCTCTCCTTCTTCAGAGTCTCCAGAAAATTCCAAATCTGATCCTGAAGAGGAAGGCAAAGTCCTGGTCACTGCTTTTCTTCAAGGTTTAAAATGGTTTCACTATGAGTGAGAGCCCCATTGCAGTAGAATAGCAGGTTTGTGCAATAAAACCCAATATTTTCTACATCAAAGAACTTCCCAGGTCAGTTCAATTTAACCTAAAAGTGTCTAAAATGAAATGAACCCCTGCCTGCTTCATGGTAATATTGCAGAACCAGTTAAGTGGGCCACTGCAAACAACAAGACAACAACCTCACTACCTCTGAGGATGCTTGCCATAGATGTAGGCAAAACGTCAGGAGAAATGCCTCTAGAACATGACTACTGCAACGCTCTACTGCAACGCTCTCTACGTGGGGCTGCCCTTGAAGACGGCCCGGAAGCTTCAGCTAGTTCAGCGCGCGGCAGCCATGCTACTAACAGGAGCGGGACGCAGGGAGCATACAACGCCCTTGTTGTCCCAGCTCCACTGGCTGCCGATCTGCTACCGGGCCCAATTTAAGGTGCTGGTGTTATCCTACAAAGGCCTAAACGGTTCTGGCCCAAAATACCTCTCGGACCGCATCTTGGCCTATGAGCCCACGAGGGCCTTGAGATCTTCTGGGGAGGCCCTTCTCTCGGTCCCGCCTGCCTCACAGGCACGTCTGGCGGGGACGAGAGAGAGGGCCTTCTCAGTGGTGGCCCCCCGGCTGTGGAACACCCTCCCTGTTGACATCCGACAGGCGCCCTCTCTTATGGCTTTCCGTAAGAGCCTAAAGACCTGGCTCTTCGAGAGGGCATTTAACTAAGTGCCAGGCTAACTGATAATGACAATCGGAACGAAATATGGATTATGAGACTGGTAGGTCCCTATGTTGTGACGGTGCGGATTAGTTAGTATAATTTAGATTAATGTGTAATTATGGCTTGTTGATGTACTGTGTTTTTGTAAACTGTTTTTATATGTTGTACACCGCTGCGAGTCGCCCTAGGGCTGAGAGCGGCGGTCAACAAATGCATTAAATAAATAAATAAATAAATAAATAGAACATGGCCATATAGCCCGAAAATCCCACAAGAACCTAAGAGCCGTAGCAAACTGGCCTCCTGCGGGAGAAAACTGTGCCAGCACGTCCATGACGTCATGAGACTCCGCCTCTCCCTCCTCCCCTTTCTCCGCCTCTTTCTCAGTGCGAGCGTGGTTTTTCCTTTGCTAGGGCAGCTTTGCCAGCATTCTCTCGAAATTGACAGAATTCAATGGCGCTCCATGCAGTCATGCCTTCCACATGACCTTGGAGGTGTCTACGGACAATGCTGGCTCTTTTGCTTAGAAATGGAGATAAGCACCAACCCCCAGAGTGGAACATGACTGGACTTAATGTCAGAGGAAAACCTTTACCTCTACCATAACACTATATTAGCTGCCAGGGCTCAATGCTATGGAAGTTTGGTTTTGTGGTTTGGTAAGGCACTGTCACGCTTTAGCAAAAATGCAACAGACCTTGCACGACTGCAACTAGCATGGTTTATAGCATTGAGCCATGGCAGTTAAAGTGGAATTGGACTACAGTGAAGATGCACCCGATTCCTGAAAACATCAGGGCCTGGGGAAATATGGAACTGCCAGCCAGTATTGTGGGGTGGAGATGCACCACAACTCCTCGCTAGGAGTCCCTATTTTACTCCCTCCTACCTTGTACTCCTTTAATGCTTCGTCCAGAGGGATAACCTTGTGGTTTTCGTGCTCCTTTGACCTGTCACACACCAGACAAATGGGGGCTTTGTGGTCCTTGCAGAAGAGTTTCAGGGGCTCCTGGTGCCTCTGGCAGACTCTCCCCTTTTCTTCCGCCTTCTGGCTCCCCAGTTCCTTGGCAATCTGCACCAGGTTCGCCAGCTGCCTATTTGGCATGATGCCCCCTTCCTGCACTTTCTCCCTGCATTGTGGGCAGGAGGCCTCTTTCCCCTCCCAGCATTGATCCAGGCAGGATTGGCAGAAATTGTGCCCACAAGAGAGGATCACAGGCTCCTTGAAATACTCCAAGCAGATGGGACAGGCCAGTTCCTCACAAAGCTTCTTCAGAGAGTCTCCAGAGGCCATGGCTGCAGAAGCTGCCAACTGCAGACACCAGACAAAGCGATTGGCTTCACTTTCGCTTCTCAGACTTTCTCTTCCTGGAAAGCCGCCTCTGCCCAACCTCTGGCGCTGCAACGCATGAGCAATCCAAATGCCTCAGTCTTCGGGAAACTGAACATGAGACCCTTTCCCTTTCTCTGTCTTCCTGGGTAGTGTGCAAGTTGTTCTCTAAGCATAGAACTCCCTTGCTTAAAAATGCTTCTTTGGCTAACATTCAGTCAAAGGGCTGGTCACAACCTACAAATCCCTATGCAGCTTAGGCCCAGTGCAAAAGGGCCTCCCTCTTCTCTGGCCAGCTATTTTGGACATATCCCACCTTTCTTTGATATCCTACCAATAAATATAAATAATGTTTAATTCTGCTGCCACCATACAATGTAAAGGAATGAATCCGTCAGGCGAGGGTGTTTTAAATATCTTTTCCACCTTTTCTGTTTCTTTAAAATAGAAAATGAGAGAGACTTTGCTTAAAGTTAAAACAATAACGATTGGTTTCTTTGTACCCTTTTTGTAACAAAAGTGTGATGGTTTCAGAAATATATATGCCTGGTGGTTATTTATTTATTTATCATGTCAGGAGCAACCAGACAGATTGTATTACATTTTTAACAAAACAAACAAACAGACAAAACACAAAGTTTGCAAGCTTGGTAGTTGGTTAAATGTCCTTTGACCAGTATCTGGCCACTTGGAGTGCCTCTGGTGTTGCCGCAAGAAGGTCCCCCATGGTGCATGTGGCAGGGCTCAGGTTGCATTGCAGCAGGTGGTCAGTGGTTTGTCTTCTCCACACTCGCATGTCGTGGATTCCACTTTGTAGCCCCATTTCTTGAGGTTGGCTCTGCATCTCGTGGTGCCAGAGCGCAGTCTGTTCAGCGCCTTCCAAGTCGCCCAGTTTTCTGTGTGCCCAGGGGGGATCTCTCATTTGGTATCAGCCATTGGTTGAGGTGCTGGGCTTGAGCCTGCCACTTTTGGACTCTTGCTTGCTGAGGTGTTCCAGCGAGTGTCTCTGTAGATCTTAGAAAGCTATTTCTAGATTTAAGTTGTTGACTTGCTGGCTGATACCCAAACAAGGGATGAGCTGGAGATGTTACTGCCTTGGTCCTTTCACTATTGGCTGCTACTCCCCAGCGGATGTCAGGTTTGACAGTGTAACTTCTCCAGTGGTGTAGGGCGCAGACACCCCGTGATAATGCAGCATGTCTCATTAAGAGCCACATACACTGTTTTAGCATGGTGAGATGTGTTCCACACTGGGCATGTATACTTGACAGCAGAGTAGCATAGCGCAAGGGCAGATGTCTTCACTGTGTCTGGTTGTGATCCCCAGGTTGTGCCGGTCAGCTTTCATATGATATTGTTTCTAGTGCCCACTTTTTGCTTCCTCTTGGCACGTTTCTCTCTTTCGCCTTCCATTTGTGCCTCTTCAAATTCTACAGCACTGCTGGTCACAGATGTCCTCCAGCTGGAGCACTCAAGGGCCAGGGCTTCCCAGTTCTCAGTGTATATGCCAGAGTTTTTAAGGTTGGCTTTGAGCCCATCTTTAAATCTCTTTTCCTGTCCACCAACATTCAGTTTCCGTTCTTGAGTTTGGAGTAAAGTAGCTGCTTTGAGAGACGGTGATCAGGCATTCGGACAAAATGGCCGGTCCAGCAAAGTTGATGGTTCAGGACCATCGCTTCAATACTGGTGGTCTTTGCTTCTTCCAGCACGCTGACGTTTGTCCACTTGTCTTCCCAAGTGATTTGCAGGATTTTTCAGAGGCAGCGCTGATGGAATCATTACAGGAGTTGCATGTGATGTCTGTAGACTGTCCACGTCTCGCAAGCGTATAGCAGGGTTGGGAGGACAACAGCTTTATAAAAAAGCACCTTGGTATCCCTACAGATGTTCTGGTCCTCAAACATTGTCTGCTTCATTTGGAAAAAAGCTGCACTTGCAGAGCTCAGGCGGTGTTGTATTTCAGTGTCAATGTTGACTTTTGCGTAGAGGTGGCTGCCAAGGTAGCGGAAATGATCAGCATTTTCTAATGTTAATCTCTGGCATTGGAGAGGGGTTGGCTGGTGTCTGCTGGAAGAGCACTTTGATTTTCTCAATGTTCAATGATAGGCCGAGTTTCTCATATGCTTCTGCGAAGGTGTTTAGAGTGGCTTGTAGGTCTTCTTCTGAATGCGCACAGATGACATTGTCATCAGCATACTGTAATTCTATAATCCGAGACTGTCTAACAGAGAGAAAATAGTGATATCGTATAATCCTTGTTTCTTCTAAGGTCAAACAAAGGCGAACAATTCAAAGAATGCACTCTGCATCCAAACTCTGACTCAAAGGCTTAGAGAGACTGAGCAGGAGGTCTCTTTTTGGGAGGGGAGGGGAGGGGCATGCAACCTGAGAATGATCATTCTAGGTCATCATATCTCCAGATTTTCAACATATTTAATTATCAAAATACAGACATCCCATCCTCTCTCCTGTAAGATCACACTCGACACGTGAAATAAATACCAACGAAATAGTTTAAAATTCACAAAAAACGTAATTGAAATAAATCAAAAGCATATTAATTTCAATACATTTTAAAGGTTTTTAACTTTTTCATGCCTGGTTGAAGCAGATTTCAGAGAGTTTCAAGTACAGTAAAACCTGCCTCACCGCAGGAACAGTATCTGTGGTTTGCTGGACTGGAAATTGATTTTTTTTAATGGTCTCCTGAATTAATCATGATTTTTGGTAATTGCTCTCCGTCTAGGAATGCATTTTTCATGAAAACAGGAGACAAAGGCCCTGTTTTCATGCAGTTTCAAAGCAGTATTGAATAAAGTGGGTTTGCTGCACATTTGCGGCTTTTCCCGCATGTTTTGTGGAAGTTTGTTGTCTAGCTGTCACAGTTTGAAACAAGCTTTGAACTGCATTAAATGGCCAGTGTAGATAGAGGGTTGTTTTTCAAACTGCACATGTGAAATAAAGCTTGACTGTAAAGCCACATTTTTATACAGTATTGAAATTAAGCAAAAACTGGCACTCAGCAAGGCTGCATCTACACTGTAGAATTAGTGCATTTTGACACACTTTAATTGCCACGGTTCAATACTGTAGAGTCCTGGAATGTGTGGTTTGATGAGCTACCAACAGGCTGGATGGCCATCTGTTGGGGGTGCTTTGAATGCAATTTCCCTGCTTATAGAATCATAGAGTTGGAAGAGATCTCATGGGCAATTCAGTCCAACCCCCTGCCAAGAAGCAGGAAAATTGCATTCAAAGCACCCCCAACAGATGGCCATCCAGCCTCTCTTTAAAAGCTTCCAAAGAGGGAGCCTCCAGCACACTCTGGGGCAGAGTGTTCCACTGCTGAACAGCTCTCACAGCCAGGAAGTTCTTCCTAATGTTCAGGTGGAATCTCCTTTCTTGTAGTTTGAAGCCATTGCTCTGCATCCTAGTCTCCAGAACAGCAGAATACAAGCCTGCTCCCTCCTCCCTATGACCTCCTCTCACATGGCAATCATGTCTCCTCTTGGCCTTCTCTTCTTCAGGCTAAATATGGCCAGCTCTTTAAGCCGCTCCTCATAGGGCTTGTTCTCCAGACCCTTGATCATTTCAGTCGCTTTCCTCTGGACACATTCCAGCTTGTCAACATCCCTCTTCAGAATTTATAGAAAACAAGGACATAGTAGTGTGCAATAGCATGGATGAAAAGGAGCTTAAACAAACAAGAGATGCAGAGTTCACCTCAAAAGTTTCAAAATGTTTATTAAAGCACAAGGAAATACATTTCTAGATAGGGTCTAGACTGGTGTTTCTCAACCTTCCTAATGCTGCGACCCTTTAATCCAGTTCCTCATGTTGTGGTGACCCCCAACCATAACATTATTTTTGTTGCTACTTCATAACTGTAATTTTGCTACTGTTATGGATCGTCATGTAAATCTCTCATATGCAGGATGTGTTTTCATTCAGTGGACCAAATCTGGCACCAATACCCGATACACCCAAATTTGAATACTGGTTGGGTTGGGGGGGGGGGGGTTCTTTGATTTTGTCATTTGGGAGTTGTAGTTTCTGAGATTTATAGTTCACCTACAATCAAAGAACTTTCTGAACTCCACCAATGATGGAATTGAACCAAACTTGGCACACAGAACCCCCATGGCCAACAGAAAATACTGGAAGGTGTACACTGAATCCTCCGAAAGCAAAGACGTCACTATCCCACTCACCCTTGTGGACAAGTTTGAATTTTAGAGTATTTCGTATTTTCCTGATTTTTTTTGTCGTGTCAGGAGCGACTTGAGAAACTGCAAGTCGTTTCTGGTGTGAGAGAATTGGCCATCTGCAAGGACGTTGCCCAGGGGACACCAGGATGTTTTGATCTTTTACCATCCTTGTGGGAGGCTTCTCTCATGTCCCTGCATGAGGAGCTGGAGCTGACAGAGGGAGCTCATCCGCACTCTCCTCAGATTTGAACCTGCGACCTGTGGGTCTTCAGTCCTGCTGGCACAGGGGTTTAACCCTCTGCATCACCAGGGGCTCCATTTTCCTGATAATAGGTGCTCAATGCATGCTTCCCCATGCCCATGATTCCTAGCATGGTGTGTGTGTGTGATTTGAAAGCATTTGGAAGGCCACCTGTTCCATTGGAAAGCGATAGTGTCACTGTCTCAGCTGCCCATATGGAAAGCTTCCTAGTTTTCCAGATTGTGGAATTTCAGATCTGGGATGCTCAAGCTCTATTTTGACTGTTGTCTCACATGAGCAGTTGTGCAAGTATCTCTCCAAAAACATGCAATATGTTCTCTGGACTGTAAAAAGCTTGTCGTCGACTCTCTTCCCCCCCCCCCCTAAAACGGAACCCCAACCTCAGTGGATCAACCAAGGCTCATATGGATGATCTAAGGGAGTACCCTGGCTGCCAGTCCAAAATTCCCCAAAAATCAAGCAGGGCCATTTCCCCAGGTTGTCCCTCATTCCTCAATGCATAAGCACTACACTCCCCCCTGACTTGGACCTTTGCAACAAATAGGGAGCAGCCATCAGCCGGTTTCCTTGTCTTGGCAGACACCTTAAGCCCACCAACCCACCCTTTTGTCCTAATCTCTGAACCCATTAGGACACCTGGCTACCCATTGTCCCATTTCTGGGAACGCTGTGGGACCTCTATCTCCAAGAATAAACCCACCAACATCCATTGTCCAAAGGACCAAACTGCACTCCCCCTGACTTAGACCTTCACAACAAACAGGGAATAGCCATCAGCTGGTTTCCCTGTATTACAAAGATCTACGTAGGCCCCTTAATCTCTTAACTCATTAGAACACCTGGCCACACATTGTCTCAAATCTGGGAATATCTTGGGACCTATATCCCCAGGAATAAACCCACCAGCACCCATCATCCCAAGACCCAAACAGCACTCCATTCTCAAACGCTCCCATTTTCAGAGTGGAGAGAACACACCAGACAGCAGGCAGCTTCAAGGTTAACCAATGCCACTTTATTCTGCACTGTGCACCAATTACAAACCGTAAATGAGTGTACTTTTGAGCCAACGAGATTGAGGATTGTCATTTGCACCAATCACAGCACATGTCCACTCTTCGTCATGACTGCAAATGTCTATAAAATGCCCACCCTAGTGACTGAGAGGCACGTCAGATGTGGGATTACGCTGTGTCCCCCAGCATCCACTTTTGCCATTGCTGAAGAAAACCATTTCTGATCCTGCCTTCATCAGTGCATGTTCTCAATAGATCAATCAGAGCTCAAGCACAGTGGGAGACCCGAACTTTCGGACAAGTGGGACCACTGCATTGATCTTCCACGCATGAAACAAGTGATACTCAAATGTTACCAAAACAAGTATTTTACTATATACAGAGTGAAAAAAAGGCCAGATGTCCAAGCTGCATTCAGAAAACAAAGAGGCACAAGGGATCATATTGAAACATATGATGGTTAATGGAGTGCAGAAAAGTATTGCTTTATGATTTATAGCAAAGCCTTTGATTATTCAGATCGTGAAAAACTATGGATTGTTCATGAAGAAATGGGTGATTTTCCTAACGTGTAACTTCTACTCAGGACAAGGGGCCACTATGAGGACAGAAGATGGAGAAAAAGTATTGTTTCCAGTTGGCAAGGGGATGAGGCAATGCTACACTTTATCACCCCCTTTGTTTACCGTCACAGCCAAGTCTTGAGAAACGCCAGGAAAGGGAGGAGCAAATAGACTTACTAGTGAATTCCAATAAATGGAGTTTTTGACGAATAATTGACTTGGGTCTTTTATTCTCTCTTTGTTGCTATTGTTGTAGCTGGGCTTTCCAAATGGGAGGAAGAAGTCCCCGGCTGATCCCTGAGCAGAGCACTGCCATGAGGAGTGGGTTCTTCATTTACACTCCAGCCTCACAAATTTTCACAAATATGTAAAGGGAGCACAGAGAGGCTTCAGAAAGAGAGCAAAAAGAATTAACAGTTCCAGATCTCTAGAGATAAATGTCTTCTTGTGTCTCAGCTGGTGTGAGTCTTTGGACGTTGCTCTCCATCTTTAGGGAGAGAGCTCCAGTTGGACTTTTTTTTCCACATAAAAGAAGGGGAAAAGGGTCTCTCCCGAGAAAGAGGCTGGAGGGTATTCCAAGATCAGGGCTGCTGAGTCTGCATCGTAAAAGGCCACCCGACCCCCTTCGTAGTTCAGAGACACTCGGACCCTCTTGGGCTCTTTGCTCAGAGTCAGAGATGTGGTAACATCGTTGTCGGAGTAGAACCTGTATGCACTCTCCCACTTTCCCACTTCCCAGGTCCCAGCCTCAGGGCCAAAGTGTGGGTCCTTTCTCTGCACAGACTTTCTGGCAATTCCTACAGACCATCCTTCCTCACTCCCCACAAGGACTTCCCAAAAATGCCTGCCTCCCGTGAATCCCTCCTGGCCCAGCACTAAAGCATAATCATTGAATCTCTCAGGATTGTCAGGAAGATCTTGCAATTTCTCTCCACGTGTCACACGTCTGCGATCTTCAGAGAGGATGAGCTGAGGATGGGCTGTGTCTGGATCCAGAGTCACATGTGCTGTTGGTGGTGGAAACAGGTCAGGGGTGAAGTGAGAAAGAACAAAAGAGCGAAAGAAAGAAAGAAAGAAAGAAAGAAAGAAAGAAAGAAAGAAAGAAAGAAAGAAAGACAGACAGACAGACAGACAGACAGACAGACAGACAGACAGACAGAAAGAAAGAAAGAAAGAAAGAAAGAAAGAAAGAAAGAAAGAAAGAAAGAAAGAAAGAAAAGGTAAACTGATGGGAGATCAGCTTCCATCTCTGATTCTAAAAACATGACAGGGAGATATTCCTTTGCCCTCTCAAATCTAGATTGGTTCTATGCTACTCTCCCTCTGGAGACCAGGGTTGAATTTGCCCTCCGTCATGGAAACCCACTGGGTAGACTTGTGCCAATCACACTCTTGGCCCCAGAAAACCCTACGATGGAATAGTCTTAGTTTGCCAGAATTTGAAGGCATACTAATCATCCATAATGGCAATAGACACAATCGCTCTGGAGTGAGCCCCTGGATTCAAGGAGGAGCTGCCAGCGATGAAGCCAATGAAGAGGAGTCTAGAGGGCATGTGGTGGACATCTCGCAGCGAGTCAGACCAAACACGGGTGTGCGCCTATGCAAGCGTGTACTCCGTAGCAGTGAAGGCTGCAAGTAAATCTCACATTGCGGCCAACATTGCATCTACAAGGAATCGTCCAGCTGAGCTGTTTTGAACGGTCAGAGGTTTCTTAATCCCCGCCACCTGTGACGGGGATCTGTTTTGATAATATGGATTCATTCGACAGCTCGCTGTGAGGTTTTTGCTCGGTTCTTCATGGTTAAAGTTGCTCTGATTTGCTCCGACCCGGACGCCACAATTAATGCAGCCTCTGAAGATGTAACGAGAGCACCTGCTCGTCTGGTTTTAATGGATTCAGATAGTCCAATGAGAGGCAGCCAGGTTAATAGCTGGGGGCGGCATACAGGGAGCATACAATTCCCATGTTACGCCAGCTCCACTGGCTGCCTGTTTGCTACCTGGCACAATTCAAAGTGCTGGATTTGGCCTATAAAGCCCTAAATGGCCCCGGAACAATGTACGTGTCCAAACTCATCTCCCCCTATGAACCATTGTGAAGATTAAGATCCTCTGAGGAGGCCCTGTTCTCTGTCCTGCCATTGTCGCAATCGTGATTGGTGGGGACGAGAGTCAGGGCCTTCTCTGTGATTGTCCCCCCCCTCCGGCTATGGAACTCCCTTCCTGGTGAGATCAGATTGGCCCCCTCTCTCCTGTCCTTCAGAAGGATGGAAAAAACATGGCTGTGGGACCAAGCTTTCAGGACAGGGCAATAAAGCAGTGATAAGAAACCTTAACAGGGCAATTAGATTTGACACATATAATCAAGATGGTTTTAAACAGTGTATTTTAATATTAAGACAAATGTTTTTAATGTTTATGTATGCATATAATGGATTCATGCCCAGGCATTGAATGTTTGCCATATATATGCTGTGCTCTGCCCCGAGTCCCCTTTGGGTTGAGAAGGGCAGAATATAAATGTTCTAAATAAATAAATAAATAAATAAATAAATAAAGTGCACCACTAAAATAAGCTTGAAGCAAAGAGCCATAAGAAGCCAGTGTTCAGGTTATTTTGACACTCTTTGGGGAAATCTATACAGAATCCATGGACATGCCATTTGTTCAGAGCTTTAAAAATTTTCTCAGACAGGCGAACCACACTCCACTCTCTCGGCCTCAATGCAACCCTCTGTGAAAAAATATGTTTGTTTGTTTACCTTTTTGCTGCTGAAGCCCAGATTCCAGAGAGGCTGGAGAGAGAGAAAAGAGAGTGAGGCTTCGCACAACATGGTGACTCTCTGAAACCCAGGAGGAAATAATGCAGGAGGGACGTAGTGTGACTTCATCCACAGAGAGTTACGTCTCATTGATCAAAATGTTCTCTCTGGGAGTCTCCAAGTCCTCCAGAGTGACTCAATTGTAATGTCGTGCTGGGGGACTAGAGATCCCTACAGAGAACACCTCTCGAAGAATCTCTTGTCCTCCAAGTGCAACTTCTTTCAGATGGTCAACTTCTCACTGGGCAATCTAGGCCCCCTCTACACTTCCTTATATAAAATCATGATTTTCTGCTTTGAATTGGATTGTATGGAAGTGTAGGCTCATATATTCCAGCTCAGAGCAGATAGTGTGGATTATTTCGGGCCTTAAGGCCAGCCAGATCTCATCCCAAGCGAGGTTGATGGAGACGAGGGAGAGGGCCTTCTCGGCAGTGGCCCCGACTCTGGAATGCCCTCCCCAAGGAAATGAGGCAAACACCCAGTCTTTTACTTTTCAGGAAGGAGTTAAAAACCTGGCTATTCCAGCAGGCTTTTGATTATGGCTAAGAGCATTAACCACCTTAGCGGACAGGACTTGAATGGCTGTTAGAATTATAACGCACAATGTTGGATATCCTGATCATAGGAATTGGCTGTTTTTCAACGGCGCTTATATTTCTGCTGTTTTTAGAGGGCAAAATAGTTTTAAAATTTGTTTTTACTAATGTTTATACTATTGTGTTTTTGTTGCGTTAAATGATATGTGATGATTGTCAGTGCTCTATTATTTATTGTATTTCTTTAGTGTTGAACGCCCCGAGCCCCTTTTGGGAGAGGTGCGGGATACAAACAAAACTTATTATTATTATTATTATTATTATTATTATTATTATTATCATTCTCTGTTTTGATAATATGGATTTTATATGGCAGTGTAGAAGGGTCCCTAGACATTTCTCAGCATCCCCTCGGGTTTTTTTAAACCACATTTCCCCCCTTTTCCTGGAGATGCCACATCCTTCACCCCTGCGAATGCGGAGGGCTGGCTGTCCAATGTTCATATTCCCCTTTGAATCAAGATCATGAAATATACGGATTGCTGATAAAGAAATGTTCAGCTTGTACTCAATCAGTTCTCACAATTACATGAACCAGAGTAAGGCCTATCGGGGTCATCTCCATTTTCATTTTGTTTTGCTTCACATCTGAAAAGTGATTCCACACTTGAAATAAAATGGAAAAGAAAAAATGGCACTGTTCCATGATCCGGGAGGACTCCAAAATGGGCCTAGACAGAGAACAGTCTGTTTTATGGGCAGGGGGAGGTTGGGGAAGTTGAAGGGGGAAAACCGTTTCCCCCGTTTTCTCTGATTATTCCCCCCCCCCTCCACTTTCCCATATCTTAAGCTATTGTTTTGACAATGGCGACATGGGTGGGAGGAAATAACAGGAAAACAGGGGGAAATGGTTTAACTCCTTCAACCCTCAAGCTGCTTTGAGTCTCCTTCGGGGGAGATAAAGCGGGATATAAATATAAATATAAAATAGGTGCAGTGCCAAAAGATCTCAGCCGGCATTTGGAAACAATAAATATTGACAAAATTACAATCTATAAACTGCAAAAGGCCACCTTACTTGGATCTGCACGCATCATTCAAAAATACATCACACAGTCCTAGAAGCTTATGAAGTGTTTGACTTGTGATTTTGTGATATGAAATCCAGCATATAGATCTTATTTGCTGTGATATGTGTTTTTGTTGTGATATACTGTGCTTCAGTACAATCATAATCATAATCATAATCATAATAATCTTCCCCTGTCTGGATAATGAAACAGTATCGAACAAATTAATACAGAAAATAATACAATTTTGTTTCACATTTGAAATTGTTTCGCTTGGCATTCTAATAGTGGCTCTAAGTTTCCAAATGCTTTGGAACTTTTTTCCCTTTCCAGACCAATGTCACATTTCATGAAAATCCTTGCAGACATTCTCCCTTACCTCTGAATTGCTTCATGAGACCCTCCAGAAAGGGATTGATATCACGGAAGTCCCAGATCTTCCACTTCAGGGCAGAAGGAAAGGCTGCAGAAGTCTCAAATTCCTCCTTGTTCTTATACCTGGAGGAGAAAGAACAATATCAGAGGATGCACAAACAGAATGAATGCAGTTTGACACCACTTTAACTCTCCCATGGCTCAGTGCTATGCAATCATTTACGGGGCCTTCTCTGCCAAAGAGCGCTGGTGCCTGGATTCCACAGCATTGAAACATGGCTGTTCAAGACAATTTCAAACTGTAAACTTTAAATTTACATTCTCTTGGCACTGCATTTGAATTCTTGAATTGTGCATTTTAAGATATATGTTTTGTGATGGTGTGTTGTCATGTATGCATTTTATGGTATGTATTCATGGGGATGTGCTTTGGCTGGATTGTGTCCTGCCTCAAATCGTGAGGAGAGGTGAATAACAAATTAAAGTTGTTGTTGTTATCAAATCACACTAATTCTGGAGTGTAGATGCTCCGCAGAATCATAGAGTTGAAGGAGTCTCATTGGCCATCAAGTCCAATTCTGCCTGTGAACACTAGCCAAACACAGACTCCTGCAATGTGCCCCTGCTTTTGAGAGTCACGTATTTCATGTGGAAATCTGAGTTTTAGTTGGAGGAGGAGAGGAAAATAACTTACCCCTGCAAGGCACTCCTGATATTCTGTAAATGAAGGAAAGAAAGAACTCAGCAGAGGCATTTGCATGGAGACCGCGCTCATATATCTGAAGCAACAGGGTACCCAACTAATAGAAATAACTGAAGCACAAACTAAGGAGGAGGCAAGGAGATCTATGTAACCACTGGCACTACTTTGCAAACAGCCTTTTGGCTGAGCCACCAAAATACAGGTCAAACGCAAGCCCCACTATATTAGGAATTTGGATCTCTTCAGTCCAACCAGATGCAATGCAAGAATGCACAAACAAAGCATTCCCACCAGATGGCCATACAGCCCAGGAGGGCAAAGCAGGACTCCCTCCACAAACTAAGGAGGAGATGGGTAGATCTATGTAACCACTGGCACTATTTTGCAGACAGCATTTTGGCTGAGCCACCAAATGCAAGGCCCAGTATATTAGGAATCTGGATATCTTCAGTCCAACCAGATGCAATGCAAGAATGCACAATCAGAGCACTCCCACCAGACTGCCATCCGTCTTCTATTTAAAATCCTCCAGAGAAGGAGACTTAGCCACATTCTGAGTTGTAGAAACAGAATGATAACATATTGGAGCTGGCAGTTCGATTGTGCAAAGTTTTGCAACAGTGAAGAAGTTAGAAAAAAATGGAAAGAGAGAAAGAGCTGGATGTGTTTTATTAATTAAAAAAATATGATTTCATATATCTATGAGGGTGTGTGTGTGTACTATTTTTGATAACACATGTCCAAGACACAACAAAATGAAGCATGTGCGTGAACTGATTCTGTTGGATAGACGAGTGACAGTGGACTATACGGGAAATCATTTGCAAATCAGCCAGGGCTCTGCCAATGCAATAATCTACAACACCCCTGGGTTTCAAAAAGTTTGAGGAAAACAGGTGTCAAAACGACTTACGGAAGAGCACAAACAGAAGAGTTTGGATATTTGCAAACAAAATATGAACCGATACTGTAAGGAAGGTGAAAGTTTCATAAAAAGGATAATTATTAGTCGCGAGACATGGATTCATATAAGCCTGAGAGTAAATGGCAGAGTGGGGAATAAAAACATCCTCAGTCACCAACCAATTAAAAAAACTCAAAAACAAACCATCAGCTGGAAAAGTGATGGTTTTCTTCAGTCACTTCAAGGATGCCATCCATCCATCTTGCTTACAGTTTTCTGAGATTCTCAATGGACGGTATTGGAATATTATCAGGAAGAAGGTTCAGTCATTTACAGGGTTCACTACACTACACTGAAGAACGGAGGCCTTCCATTCAGACAAAATGGAGAGGTCTGCTATCCGAGGGCACTGTGTTGTTGCAGGGCAATGCATGTCTGCACACTTCCCTATAGTCCTGATCTTGCCATTGGACCATCACCTATTTGGATCCCTGAAAGAAACCCTATGAGGACGAAGGTTCATGTCTGATGTAGAAGTGTAGACAGCGGTGAAGACAGTGGTCTATTCATTTTAAATAAGGGAATACAAAAGCTTGTTGACATATGGACAAACGGTATTGGAACACAGGGAGATTATGTCCAAAATGTTGTATTTGTCTTTTCTGAAAGTCGATTAAAATAAATTCTGCAGCCAGACTGCATATACTTTTTGACATATTTTGTGTGATCGATCGATCTGATGTGTTGTTGAAGACTTTCATGGCTGGAATCACTGGGTTGCTGTAAGTTTTTCGAGCTGTAAGGCCATGTTCCAGAAGCATTCTCTCCTGATGTTTCACCTGCATCTATTGCAAGCATCCTCAGAGGTTGTGAGAACATGGCCATTTGTTGTTGTTCATTCGTTCAGTCATCTCCGACTCTTCGTGACCTCATGGACCAGCCCACGCCAGAGCTCCCTGTCGGCCGTCACCACCCCCAGCTCCTTCAAGGTCAGTCCAGTCACTTCAAGGATGCCATCCATCCATTGCCGATGTCTGGTGAGACACTGGAAGTAGCCCAAGAAAGGAGGAAAGCAAAAGGAAACAGGGATAAGGGGAGATATGCCCAGTTAAATGCGCAATTCCAGAGGTTAGCCAGAAGAGATAAGGAACTATTTTTAAATAAGCAATGCATGGAAGTGGAAAAAGACAACAGAATAGGAAGGACAAGAGACCTCTTCCAGAAAATTAGAAACATTGGAGGTAAATTTCAGGCAAAAATTGGTATGATAAGAAACAAAGATGGCAGGGACCTAACAGAAGCTGAAGAGATCAAGAGAAGGTGGCGAGACTATACAGAAGATCTGTATAGGAAGGATAATAATATTGAGGATAGGTTTGACGGTGTGGTGAATGAATTAGAACCAGACATCCTGAGGAGTGAGGTTGAATGGGCCTTAAGAAGCATTGCTAACAACAAGGCAGCAGGAGACGACGGAATCCCAGCTGAACTGTTTAAAATCTTAAAAGATGATGCTGTCAAGGTGATGCATGCCATATGCCAGCAAATATGGAAAACACAAGAATGGCCATCAGACTGGAAACAATCAACTTATATCCCCATACCAAAAAAGGGAAATGCGAAAGACTGCTCAAACTTCCGTACAGTGGCCCTTATTTCTCATGCCAGTAAGACAATGCTCAAGATCCTGCAAGGAAGACTCCAGCAATACATGGAGCGAGAGTTGCCAGATGTTCAAGCTGGGTTTAGAAAAGGCAGAGGAACGAGAGACCAGATTGCCAATATCCGCTGGATAATGGAGAAAGGCAGGGAGTTTCAGAAAAACCTCTATTTCTGCTTCATTGACTAGTCTAAAGCCTTTGACTGTGCGGATCATAATAAATTGTGGCAAGTCCTTGGTGGGATCCCAAGCCCCCTTCCCTCTCTCCTGAGGAATCTGTACAAGGACCAAGGAGCAACATGGCCATACTGCTCGAAAACCTTACAACAACCCAGATCGATCTGATCTCTTAGAGATGGAACCCAAACTAGTGTTGTTGTTGTTTACTCGTTCAGTTGCTTCTGAATGTGACCCCATGGACCAGCCCACGCTAGAGCTCCCTGTCGGCGGTGGTTAGTGTTAAATTCATATATGTTACTTCTTTGCCTCATAAACACAGCACAAAGCTAATGTCATACAACAGTTTGTGCACACAGAACCATGAGAAAACTGAAGTGTCTCTGTCTCAGCCACCCATGGGGACAATCTTGCCCTTACCTGGAGGAGTTCACTTGTCGGCTGTTGATGCTTCTCCTCCATCTCTTGAATGAGTTTCAAGAGAGAGGAGAGTTCTTCAGAGAGTCTGGCCAGCTGCTCCTCCCCTTTGGCTGAAATCTCCTTCTCTATCTCTTCTATTTTTGCCAGCAGATTCCTCTCTTGTTTGTCTAGAAACTGATGCATGTGTTTGAATGCAGCAACAGTCTTCTCCTTCTCTCTTTGGGTTTTCTCCTAAAATAAAAGAAAGGAGAAACAGGAGTGAGAGGCAGAAAAATGGTCTTTGGAGTGAATCCTCTGTGTTCCTTTGAAGTGGGGCTTACATCTCTTCACAAAGAACAGGTCTATATCCAGTGGTGAAAGCACTTTGTGAAGACCTGCAAGGGCCTGACACTGGAATGGGTTTGGGTCAATATTTTCTGTAGGCTTTCAGGTCTCTTACAATGGGAGATATTTTTCACAAAAGGAATTCCATTTATTCAGACTCACATTCAAGGCTATAATAACAAAAATAATAACAACTTTTTTCTTCTACCCATCCACCATCTCCCTAAGGGGACTCGGGGTGGTTGGCATATGGGACAGAGTGTCCACAAGACATAAAAGGAAAACAACCCATCACCACAAAAAACACAATAAAATAAAACATGGTAAAATATAACAATCCAGCTAAAACACAATTAGATAGAGTATAAGAATATAAAGCAGCAGCATTGAAGCACCATAAAAACAATGCTCGACAAAAACCAATAACCAAAAATACTAAAATGGGTGTGAACAGGCTAGAAAAGGGAGCGAGCATGGGATAGTCAGTGCAAAGCCCCATACCATAGGGACCGAGAGTTGGATGAAGAGCAGAGACCAGAGGACTATCTAGAGAACTAGGGACTGGGCATATGTAACTAGGGACTAGTCATTCTCAAATGCTTGCTGAAATGCCCAGGTTTTCAAATCTCTGCCGAAGGAGGGCAGTGTAAAGGCTTGCCTGATCTCCCTGGGGAGGGAAGAAGGCCCTCGTCCTCGTCCTCACCAACCATGCTTGGGACCGAGAGGAGGGCCTCCCCAGCTGATCTTAGAGCCTGTGCCTGTTCATAGGGGGAGATGCGGTCATGAAGATAGGCGGGGCCCGAACCGTTTAGGGGCACCTGAGCATCTAACATCAGCGCTGAATCTAGAAGGACCCCCAGACTGTGGACCCCATCGAGCATAGGCTGCCACCCCGTGTCCCAATCGGTCTCGCAGCTGACAGGAGGACTTCTGTCTTGTCTGAATTAAGCTTCAGCTTCTTAGCCCTCATCCAGTCCATCACAGTTGCCAGATCCGGGGGCTTTCTTAGAATTTGGTGGAAATGAGTGATAGAGCGATTGGCGCCATCTTCGTACAGATGGCGCCAAACTCCAAAACTCCAAATGGCCTCACCCAGTGGTTTCATGTAGATATGAAAAAGCACTGGGTGTCATGACCTTATTTCTTGGTTTTGAGTGAAGCCAGGAAATTAGGCCATGCCTTAGATCTGGCCTGTGTATATGTGAAACAAGGATGAGTGTTGCCAGGGAAATGGGAGCAATGAAGGGGAGGGGACAGCGTGAAGGATAGGAGGCATCAGGCAAATAAACTGGCAGTTGGAATTTTGTTGCGTTCCCTAATGCATGCTTTATTTGTGAGGTAAATATTTGCCAGAAAGCTACAGATCCAGACATGGGGAATAGAATGGAACCTTGCAGGACCCCATAGGTCAAAGACCAGGGGTCTGAGCAGTGGCTCCCAACTTCACCAACTGGGTGCGACCCTCCAAGAAGGAGTGGAGCCACTGCAAACAAGTGCCCTCAAGACCCATTCCGGAGAGCCGCCCCAGAAGGATAACATGATTGATGGTATCAAAAGCCACTGAGATATCCAAGAGAAGCAACAAGGACACACTCTCCCGTCTATCTCTCTTTGCAGGTCATTCACCAAGTAGCAATGCCACTTACGAGCAAATCTTGGCTTTCTTGTGCTGTGTCTGCTTTGTAGGCCAGAATTTTCTCTCTCTCCTTCTTCAGCGTCTCCAGAAAATTCCAAATCTGATCCTGAAGAGGAAAAGAAAGCTCTTGGTCACTGCTTTTCTTCAAGCTTTAGAATAGTTTCAAAGACCATACCATCAACCATACCACATTTATCAAATTTTATGGAAGCTTTGGATAATGTTGACCTCCATTGGCAGCCCTCTCTTCTTTTGTTACTACTGCTTCCAGAATTTTATTTACTCATAAGAAGTCCCTCCAAATGAAGATGCATATGGTGGATGCTATCGCAGGAGGCACGCAAACTCCTGCATCCCTATTGCGTGATGCCATGTTCGTCCTGCTGCTGTCTTGCCTCCTCCTCATGTTTTCCCCATCTCTAGTTATTGACAATGAAAACCCACCTATAGCTCACACTCCCACAATGGTCCTGTCACTTTCCTTGATGCGATGAGTCCCTTCCTCTTCTGTGCCAGCACGATGGCAGCAAAATCACATCAGGACTCAAAGTTATGGAATTTTGGATTTGTGGTTTGGTAAGGCATTGGCACTTTGGCAAAAATGAAAAAGACCTTGTACAACTGCAACTACCACGGTTTGTAGCATTGAGCCACAGCAGTCAAAGTGGAATTAAACTGCATTTATTCCATAGTGTAGATGCACCCTTGATCCCTGAAAACATCAGAGCCTGGGGAAATATTGAACTTCAGCCACAGACCTGTATTTTGGGGTGGAGATGTACCTCAACGCCTTGTTAGGGGGCCCTATTTTACTCCCTCCTACCTTGTACTCCTTTGATGCTTCATCCAGAGGGATCACTTTGTGGTTTTCGTGCTCCTTCGACCTGTCGCACACCACACAGATGGGGACTTCATGGTCCTTGCAGAAGAGCTTCAGGGGCTCCTGGTGCTTCTGGCAGACTCTGCCCTTCTCTTCTGCCTTCTGGCTCCCCAGTTCCTTGGCAATCTCCACCAGGTTCGCCAGCGGCCTAATTGGCCTGATGTCTCCTTCCTGCACTTTCTCCCTGCATTGTGGGCAGGAGGCCCCTTTCTCCTCCCAGCATTGATCCAGGCAGGCTCGGCAGAAATTGTGCCCACAAGAGATGATCATCACAGGCTCCTTGAAATACTCCAGGCAGATGGGACAGGCCAGTTCCTCACAGAGCTTCTTCACAGGGTCTCCAGAGGCCATGGCTGCCAATGCCACTCCACTGCGAGGACCAGGCAAAGCTAACAGCCTTACTTTCGTTTCTCAGATTTTCTCTTCCCGGAAAGCAGCTGGTGACTCCGCCTCTGCCCAACCTCTGGCGCTGCAAGGACTGAGCTCTCCAAATGCCTCAGCCTTCGGGAACCTGGACAGGAGACCTTTCCCCTTCCTCTGTCTTCCTGCAAGTTGTTCTCTAAGCATAGAACTCCCTTCCTTAAAATGCTTCTTTGAATACTGGTATATTTTGAGATGCAATTCATTCAAAGAGAAGTTTGCAACCTATACATCCCTATGCAGTGTAGGTCCAGCCTATCTGAAAGGCCAAATCTCCCCATGGCAGAGTTTCTCAAACTGTCTTTCTCCAGGTGTTTTGGACTTCATCTCTCACAATTCTTAACAGCTGTCAATAGCATGGATGAAAAGGATTCTGGAGCTTAAAGAAACTGGAGGTGCAGCATTTACCTTAAAAGTTTCAAAAAGTGTATTAAACCACCGCCCCACCTCCTCTATCTTGTTCATACCCAGCATTATTTTTTTAGCTTAATTACATTTGGCCCAGCCATAGTTTTTAAATGTGTTTTGTGCTATTTTTCAATGTTTATGCTATTTGTGTATGAGATGTATTTTAATTGCTTTGTATTAGTATTTGTATTTTGCTTCGTATTGTGGTTGTTATTGCTTGTATTGATGTATTGTGGGCTCGGCCTCATGTAAGCCGCACCGAGTCCCTTGGAAGATGGTAGCGAGGTATAAATAAAGACTATTATTAATTAATTAATTAATTAATTAATTAAACCACAAGGAAGATGGGGTGGAGACTATCTAACGGAGAATAAATGGAGATATCGTATAATCCTTGTTTCTTCTCAGGTCAAACAAAGGGAAAAGATTCAACGTCTACATTCTGCATTCAAACTCTGACTCAAAAGCTTAGAGCGACTGAGCAGGAGGTCTCTCTTTAGGAGGGCTGAAAACCAATGGCATGCAACCTGAGAATGATCCCTCTAGCCTAGGTCATCAGATCTGCTGATTTTCAACATATTCATTTATGTTTTTATGCCGTGTTGAAATTAAGCCCAAATCGGCACTCAGCAAGGCCGCATCTACACTGTAGAATTAGTGCATTTGGAGACACTTTAACTGCCATGATTCAATGCTATGGAGTTCTGGAATGTGTAGTTTGGTGAGCCACCAACACACTTTTAGAGAGGCTAAAACTACAACTCCCATGATCCCATAGCATTGATCCATGGCAGTTAAAATACGTTATGAGATACTTTGGAGATGGGACCCAAGTCTAAACACAAAATCTATTTATGTTCTACTAGCTAATCAAACACATTGGGTGGGCCAGATGTATGAGATAATATGTTAAAGGTCAAAACCCTGGGTGAGATAGGAATGAAAAGTGCATTTATGAGAAAGGAGCAGGAGGGTTTGGGCTTTATAGGGGGCAGGGGAAGGTGCTTTGTCATAAGGACAACTGTAGGTGGAGACAAACACATGAGTTGAGTGGTCACGCTCCAAAGGCACATCAGAAGAGCCAAGTTTTTAAATTTTTCCTAAAAGCAGCTAGGGTAGGGAGAAAGGATTACGTTTTCTTGTCCTGGTGAAGGGAGTTGGACTGGATGGCCTTAAGTATTTTCTGTTGGTCCTGGGGGTTCCGTGTGGGAATTTATTGTAGGTTAACTATAAATATTGTAGGTTAAGTATAAATCCCAGCAACTACAACTCCCAAATGACAAAACCATTTTTTGAGTGATATTCACTCCTTGGGTTAGTAGGTGACTTGTGGCCAAATTTGGTGGCAATTCATCCAGCGATTTTTGAATTGTGTTAATCCCACAAATGAACATTACATTTTTATTTATATAGAAATCACATAGCCTGAAGGTGATTTCCTTTTCACATTTGGGAATATTGAGTACTTGTGCCAAGTTTGGTCCAGTCTCATCACTGTTTGAGTCCTCAGTGCTCTCTGCGTGTAAGTGAACTACACTTCCAAAACTCAAGGTCAATACCCACCAAACCCTCCCAGTATTTTCTGGTGGTCGTGGGTGGTGGAGTTCAGAATGCTCTTTGATTGATTTAGATGTATCTGGCATTTGTGCCAAATGTGGTCCAGTGAATGAAAATACATCCTGCATCTCAGATAATTACATTACAATCCATAACAGTAGCAAAATGACAGATATGAAGTAGCAACGAAAATAATGTTATGGTTGGGGGTCACCACCACATGAGGAACTGTATTAAGGGGTCGTGGCTGAGAAACATTGCTCTAAGTCATCAACATATTTATTTATATATATAAAAAAAAGACATCCCACCTTCTCTCCTGTCTCACACTTGACACGTGAAATAAATACCATCAAAATAGTTTAAAACTCACAACAAACATAATTGGTACCAACCAAAGCATATTAATTTAAACTCATTTTGAAGGTTTGAAACTATTTTATAGGGGTCCCTGGTGGCACAGTAGATAAAATCAAAAAGGTTAGTGGTTCAAATCCTGGGAGCGGGGTGAGCTCCCACTGTCAGGTGCAGCTTCTGCCAACCTAGCAGTGTGTAAACATGCAAATGTGAGTAGATCAATAGGTACCGCTTCTGCGGGAAGTTAATGGTGTGCCATGCAATCATGCTGGCCACATGATCTTGGAGGTGTCTATGGACAACGCCGGCTCTTCAGTTTAGAAATGGAGATGAGCACCAACCCCCCGAGTTGGGCATGGCTGGACTTAATGTCAGGAGAAACCTTCACCTTTCCCTTAATTATTTCATGCCAGTTTGAAGCAGATTTTTTAAAGTTTCAAGGACAGGCAAACCCACCTCACTGCGGGAATGATATCTCTGGGATGCTGCGACTGGACATGGTTTATTGTAATGGTTTCTTGAATTATCCATGATTTTTGGTAATTGCTCTCCATCCCGAGTGGATTCTTCATTAAATCAGGAGTCAAAGGCTCCAGTTACACCGACCATTTAATGCAGTTTCAAAGCTGTATTGAATGAAGTGGGTTTGCTGCACATTTATGGCTTTCCCCCTCATGTTTTCATGGGAGTTTGTGGTCAAGGGGCCACCGTTTGAAGCTAGCTATGAACTGCATTAAATGGTCAGTGCAGATGGGGGATTTTTGATCTTCAAACTCAGCCTGTCTATCTACATAATAAACTTAAAATATGTATGTGTATATGTGGCAGAGGTGTCCACTTACACAAACAGGCTATAGTTCCAAGTGCTGAGAAGCCCCCAAAGGCACTCCCTCCACTGACATTGCAGGTTACAACGAACATCATGAACATGTAGCCGAAAATCTGCCAGTGTCTTCCCCAAACATTACGGCCCACTACCCAAGAAATGCTTGGGATTCTGGGACAATTTCATTCTAGTTTTCACATGTTTCCTCCACCACAGGCAGGCATCCCAGGGTTCCTTGTGTGGAATTTGCATTACCCCGCCCACTGCCTTTCCCTTGACCCTTTCCTATGGCACACAGCAAACACAGAGGAATTTGATCAGCAACTGAACAGACTGGAGGGGTTTGGGGGACTGACTCAACAGGATGGAAATTGTAGTTCAGCCTGCATCAAGGCAGAGCACTGTGACCCCCTGCAATAATGGACCTGGACCACATGTGGCATTCACAACCCCCATGACCAGGTTTGAGGGGAACTGACCTTGATTTATAGAGGTTGTACTTCTCCTACATCCAGAGAGCATTGTGAACCCAATGGTGGCTCTGGACCAAACTTGCCATGGATGATTCCAGACCACTCCGACCTCCACGAATGACGGATCAGGACCAAACTTGGCACACAGGACACCCTCCCCCCCGACCCACTATATATTCTAGTGAAGTTTGGAGGAGGACAGACAATGGAAGATGGGATTTGCAGTACCTTCACTAACCTCTAGAGACCACTATAACCTCCACGAATGATGGATCATGACCACACTTGATACAAAGACCGCTCCCCCTCCATGACCCAGTATGCGTCTTGGTGAAGTTTGGAGGAGGATGGGCCATGGAAGATGGGATTTGCAGTACCTTCACCCAATTTGGCTCCCACAGACCACTGCGACCACCACACATGACAGATCTGGACTAAACTTGCCACACAGACTCTCCATGATGCAATTTTTGTCATGGTGAGGTTGGGGATGGATGCACCAGGAACAATGGGATTTGCAGTAGCTTCACTCACTTCCAGAAACCACTACAACCCCCACAAATGAAGCACCTGGACCAAATTTGGCACACAGACTCCATATGATGCAATTTATGTCCTGGTGAGGGTTAGGGGAAGATGGACCACAGACAATGGGATTTGCAGTACCTTCACCCATTTCCACAGCCCACTGAGACCCCCCACAGCCTACAAATAACAGGCCTAGACCAAACTTGGGACACAAAACCCCCATGGCCAACAGAACATACTGGAGGGGTTTGGGGAACTGACCCACCTGCGTGGGAATTGTAGTTCACCCTGTGCCCAGAGCACTCTGAACCCCATCAATGACAGATCTGGACCAAACATGGCACACAGATCCCTGGTGACCAACAGAACATACTAGAGGTGTTTGTGGGGGACTGACCAACCTGTGTGGGAGTTGTAGATCATCCTGCATACAGAGCATTCTGAACCCCCTCAATAACAGATCTGGACCAAACTTGGCACACAAACCCAACATGGCCAACTCTGAATACAGGCGGAGTTTGGGGGTCATTGACTTCGGAATCTGGAAGTTGTACTTTACCTGCATCCAGAGAAACTGTGGTTCCTAGCAACAATGGACCGGGACCAAACTTGGAGCAGAGAAACCCCATGACCAACAGAACATACTGTGCGGGTTTGGGGGAATTAACCTTGATTTTGGGAGTTGTAGTTCACCTGCATCCTGAGAACACTCAGCCCAGCTGACAATGGATCTGGACCACAAGCCCAACATGACCAGCTACAAATACTGTTAGGATTTGGGGGTGACTGCCCTTGGCATATGGGAGTTGTAGTTCACCTGTATCCAGAGAGCTCTGAACCC